TGTGTGTGTGTGGCGGCATTAGGTATGGATCATGCGACCTGCACCTGCAATTGTGATGCGTCTGTGCCTGGCAGAGTGTGAGAGATGGGCTGCTGTTGTGTGTGGTGGTGTCTATGAGTCTCATTATGAACGCAAATGCCCATTGGATTGACATTAGTGTCTCCCTCTCTATCTCGTCACATGGATCGCGTGAGTCGTCCATGTAGCGGTGATGGTGTCCGTAAGAGAATAAGGCATGGTGTGTTGCTGCGTATGATGGAATCTGCGAAGCTAATTATGAAGAAGTATCGATATAATTGGCAATGATATATCTTGCCTGTCTGGTGGCATTATCTATGGATTGGATGACTTCACCCTGTAGCAATGTAATGGATGGTGCGTTGCTGTATATGGCAGTCTGTCCTTTTGCATTTGTTGGACGCTGCTGCTGCTGTTGTTGTGGCATATGAAGGTCGTATCCTAAGAGGATCACAGCTGGGTGACACGACGGAGATGAGTCTGCAAGAGGGGATGGGAAGAGCGGACGATGAAGTAAAGGAATGGGCTGGTGAGCATTTGGATTGAACTCTCCAGGTTGAGACAAACATTCCCGAAAACGCATCCAGGGTGGGAATTTGAGCGATCCGTTTAGCTCGCGTCCAACGTGGATCGGTAACGTCGCAGGAGATGGAGACGGACTGGGGAGGCCCTCATCCAGCAGTGGATATATCGCGCCTGCTGATTGATTGTAGCGGCCTCTAGCGGCTGTAAGGGCCACATTGATCAGCATCATCAGCCATGGTCAATCCACAGACACACTGCGTGCCACGAATTAAAAAAAAAACATTTTAAACAATATTCGATGCGTGTATTGTTGAGTTTATGAATCAATATTAATCCGGTTATCGGTTCACCTCAACTAACCCCCTCTCACATTCTCCCTCCTCCACATTCCACCTTCCCCACCACATCTCACCTCCACCATTCCCCGCTCCACCTTTTCCACCCCCACCTTTGGCCCCCTCCACCCCCACCTTTCCCCCCCTCCACCCCCACCTTTCCCCCCTCCACCCCCACCTTTACCCCCCTCCACCCCCACCTTTCCCCCCTCCACCCCCACCTTTGTCCCCATCCACCCCCACCTTTGGCCCCCTCCACCCCCGCCTTTCCCCCTCCACCCCCGCCTTTCCCCCCTCCACCCCCACCTTTCCCCCCCTCCACCCCCACCTTTCCCCCTCCACCCCCACCTTTACCCCCCTCCACCCCCACCTTTCCCCCCTCCACCCCCACCTTTGTCCCCCTCCACCCCCACCTTTCCCCCCTCCACCCCCGCCTTTCCCCCCTCCACCCCCACCTTTCCCCCCCTCCACCCCCACCTTTCCCCCCTCCACCCGCACCTTTACCCCCCTCCACCCCCACCATCCCCCCCTCCACCCCCACCTTTCCCCCCTCCACCCCCACCTTTCCCCCCTCCACCCCCGCCTTTCCCCCCTCCACCCCCACCTTTGTCCCCTCCACCCCCGCCTTTCCCCCCCTCCACCCCCACCTTTACCCCCCTCCACCCCCGCCTTTCCCCCCCTCCACCCCCACCTTTCCCCCCCTCCACCCCCACCTTTCCCCCCCTCCACCCCCACCTTTCCCCCCCTCCAACCCCACCTTTCCCCCCTCCACCCCCACCTTTCCCCCCCTCCCCCCCCACCTTTCCCCCCTCCACCCCCACCTTTCCCCCCCTCCACCCCCACCTTTCCCCCCCTCCACCCCCACCTTTCCCCCCTCCACCCCCACCTTTCCCCCCCTCCACCCCCACCTTTCCCCCCCTCCACCCCCACCTTTCCCCCCTCCACCCCCACCTTTCCCCCCCTCCACCCCCACCTTTCCCCCCCTCCACCCCCACCTTTCCCCCCTCCACCCCCGCCTTTCCCCCCCTCCACCCCCACCTTTCCCCCCTCCACCCCCACCTTTCCCCCCTCCACCCCCACCTTTCCCCCCCTCCACCCCACCTTTCCCCCCCTCCACCCCCACCTTCCCCCTCCACCCCCACCTTTCCCCCCTCCACCCCCACCTTTCCCCCCTCCACCCCCACCTTTCCCCCCTCCACCCCCACCTTTCCCCCCTCCACCCCCGCCTTTCCCCCCTCCACCCCCACCTTTCCCCCCCTCCACCCCCACCTTTCCCCCCTCCACCCCCACCTTTACCCCCCTCCACCCCCACCATCCCCCCCTCCACCCCCACCTCCCCCCTCCACCCCCACCAGCCCCCTCCCCTCACCCCCCCCACGTTACCCCTCCCCTTCCGCCTGTACGCCCAACCAATGAGGCGGCGTGTCGGACGTCGCGTGACCCCAAAAAAAAAAAACCGTTTGCTGTGGCGTCGCTGCTGTAGAGTCCCGCGTTGCGCAAAACTGTTAAATATTTAGCCTTTAAAAAAATATAAATATATACTGCGTATACCCTTACCAAAAATCGTCGCAATTGTGAAATCACCGGCGTTATTCAGGCGTTTTATTTTAAATCTTCGCGGCCGTACACTGTGGTTGGGGGTTATGTTGAGGCGTTGAGTCGGAGCGCGCTCTGAACCAGAGAGGGCTTCAGGGCCAAACGTCGTGGGGATTTTAAATGATCCACCCACCCTTATTGTCCCTCGTTATCACTGTTGCTGAGTTTAAACTAGCACGGCGCATCTGTTTACTTCCAAGCACAATAGCGTAGCTAACGTTTAAAAACTGTACGCTAAAATATATATATTTGTTGGTTTAAAAAAAAGCTACTTTTCGAGGTTGGCGTTTGAGAAGGCCCCGATTTTTTCAGGGCTTCTTGGGTTTTTGAGCCATTTTTTTTAAATCTGTTATTTTAGTTTTAATTAGACGTATCCTCCAGTTTTTTTTTAAACCGAAACTATACAAGGCTTTTCCCACCGTGAATAAAGCGAACAAATCTCCCATCGTGTGCGAACAAATCGAGTGCTCCATCCAGCAGTGGATTCGCCGTGGCCGATGATGAATGGTTCGCTGTATAAGAGGTTCATTAACATTGTCATAGAATACAATTAAGACGCCCTTTTCAGTGAAATAAAATGTCCCCTAACCAAATATTCAATCGGCCAGGGTTATCGATGACTTGTTATTGAATAAACACTTTACATGCTGGTTTTTAAAATTATACAAAATTAAGTACATTTTAAACAATACACATTTTAGCTTTCATATACTGTACAGTACTGTACCTGTGACTAAATCCTGCTCTTAGAAGCCACGCAGGTTGGAACGTGGATTGTGATTTGTAGAAAAAAACAGGCGCTACAGGCTTCTGCGACGCTGTGTTGTCGGTAGCCCAGAGGACATTGCTGAACAATCTTCTACTGTGTTATGCTACCGTGGATGTCCTGCACTGTTACCCACACTGACCGGCGTGGTGAAGTATGGTCACGTAAACCCATGCGGCGTGGGTAGGCCCTCATCCCGCAGCAGTGAATTGACAAAATGGCTTCACTTATATTACATTACTAATTATAATGATTAGTATCGGTCAACAGCAGTGTGTTTTTAAATAAAATACTGTATTCGTAATTCGTGTTTATCAGTTGGCACTTGCTGGCCATTCTGCCAAAAGTGAAAAGCGATTCAAGCCTCACAACAATATATTACACTTGGCTTATTATGCTTGGATAAATCAGATTCAGTTTAACACGTCGGCTTTCGCGACCAATATAAAGGTCCTTGGGTTTGATCCCGCAAGTATAAATGTGTCGAAACCCTCAACCACCCGACAGCCAATTAGTAAGGGATTTGTCATGTAAACAGAGCGTCAAATAGTTACTACTTAAGCCCACCCGTGTCTTGGAGAGTAAATCCACAACATTTACAATTTCAGAAAATGTCCCCTAACCAATATTTTTGTTTTCATTTTAAGAGGAGAGTGCTTGTTGTGGCATTCAATATTTCTGGCATTTATGTAAACTACAGACTACATAATAATACCACCTGTGCATTTTGGTGATATGTCCACAGATGTTCATCTCCTGGACAATATGTGAAAAAGAGCTTTATAGCTCATCCGATTCCTCCAGTATAAAATATTCGGATGCACACCCAATATGTATGGTTGTGTACGCAGGTCTACTGTGATCCATTCATGTTTGTACTTTAAAACGCCTCTGGTGTTTGAAGGTTATTGTAATATTAGTACTGCAGTTGCATTTCACATGTTGCACTACACCTTCTTAATGTTCTCCATACTGCAGTTTACTGAGATTTTTGGGGGGGATTATATTCACGTCTTAATTGTGTACCTCTGTTTTAATGTTATCGTTGCACCTGTATGTATACTAACAGACATCTTGTAATGATATCTAATACATTAATACGTATTTTTTTCCCCAGCTATTTTTATACTAAGAATATTGCATATTTTAAATCGGTGTTAAAAGCAGCAGTACTTGCCAGATTAATTGTTTGTTGAGATTATAAAGCACAAATGGCTAATCTGTTTATATATATAAGCACATGTTATTGCAACTTCGATAGTTTGCAGAATAATACGTATTAATGTTCAAGGTGTTGCATTACAATGCAGATTTGGGTGTACTTTACACTTGCATTAATACATCTGCAAGATGCATGGGTGTGGCATTAACATTTCCATTCGTAATAGTATCTAGTAATAGTTTTTTTTCCCGAACATGGGGTCAAACAAACTCTTAAAAGTATAGAATAAAGTGGCACAATATTGAATCAGTTTTACGAATACACAAAGGGAAATATCTGATCAACTGCCTCTGCAGAAAAAAAGGAAAAAAAAGCTCAAGACAGCAAATGCTACGTGTAGGACCATACCATTATGTTCAGGGGGAGTCACACAACACCAATACAATACACTTATTTTATAAATGAAAGTCGGCGCAAATTGTAACACGTGTATACAAATTGTAAGCTAAATAGCTTATAATGAATAGTGGTGGAAGATGTTGATTTGGTATTTTTATAATGACCTTGTGATGGTTTGCTTCTGATGGTTTCTCCCCCACTGCAGTGTATCAGCCCAGAGCTGCTGAGTCAGTGTCTGAATAAAGACAGGCATTCCTTACTGCAGTGTTGAGAACTCTCAGCCTTCATCCCACCGTTATCCGACATGGCTACCATCTCCAAGACCGCAGGTAAGATTCAACAGGGATAGGAGCGGCTCCTTAGCGCTGTGTTGTCTCCAACCAAGCTGCTATTGTACATAATATCACGAGATTACATGCGGGATTTTATTTAATACCTTTACATTTTTAGATGGTTTTAAAAATCATGCTACATCAATGTTAACAAAATACAGTCGGGATAATATTAAGCGTGTGAGAAAAAAACCCGAATTGCGTACCGTGGGAGTGGGGGGGGGGTGTTTTGTCGGAACGAAATGTCTGATGCGTGCACTGCAGTCAGCACCATGGACAGCAGCTTCCTCTCATTGGGGCTGTTGCCACACCCTGGAGCAAAGAGCGATGCCAATCGCAGTCGCATGTGTTAAAGCGATTGTAATTTATACCGATTTGTGTAACCCATAAAACTAGAAACCCCCCCCCCCCCCCCGTTAAGCTTTTAGATGCATAAATTGTATAATTGTGAGTGTTAAACTACGTTACAAGAGATGTAATCGTTGGTACGGTGTAATTGCTATGTATCGGTTCTTTTAATGGTGTAGGAGCTCGGCTTCGTAAAACGGTTTTGGTACCGTATTGAAAATGTCTCGCGATTAAAATGTGTTTGCTCGGGTGTAGCGGGGGTATAAACAACGCATTGTCTGATTATGCTGTTTAATTGCCACCGCAATGGCACAAGAGCGGCCACATGCGTTATACACACGACATTTCCCATATATACTGTATAGATTAATGGTTAATACTCTTCCATGCTGCTTGCCTTAAATGGTAACCGATCGACAATTTCACCTACGCAATGCTTTTTTTTTTTTAAATAAATGTGTATAGATACAGTGGAGGTATATTTGTAGTGATTGTTTACCAGGTGTCTAAAATATCCAAAGAGATTTATAGATGATTATTTTTCTGAGGCAGTATATAATTGACTTTGAATGCAATAGATAACGTATTTTTGTTACCGATTTCGCGAGGCTGTGGTATTATTAGCCTCGGTAGTGTGTGCAGTATAATTTCTAAGGTGTAAAAATGCAGTTGATGGTAATGATTGTCATGATTGAATTCGTAAAAGCTGTCGTGATTTCATTGTCACATGCTGGGCGTGGTCTCCCATTGCAGGTCTCTTACGAATCTGGGCCTCCCCACAGCCTTCCCTTATCTCTTCTTACTGCACGTCTAAAGATTCGATAGTGTATATTGTGGACTTGATTGTAATATCCTTAACACCTCCGTCTTTTGCTTCCTCTTCGTCTAGCTTACAAGGACAAAATGAAGGAACTTTCCATGCTTTCGGTTCTGTGTTCTTGTTTTTATTCTGAACCTCGGCCGGGGTCTGTATATAAATATGGTGGTCAGTAACTTCCAAACGTCATACATTCTTGTGTGCATGCTGTTTGCATGTTTCTGCGGGTAATGTGTTGTCCTTTTCATATTTTATAAACACATTTCCAAGAGATTGGTCTAAATGTATGTTTGGAGATAGCATTGCATGTGGCCCTTGGCGCATACAGCGAGTTTTAGTTGATTTGCTGTTATAAATATGGCTTAATATGTTAAACAGCTGTAGTCATGTTTTGGCTGAAGATTTGGTATTTCATAATACAGTACTGCACCACCCTAGATGTAATACATCTGTCCCATTGTAGGGTAAAGTGATTTGGAAGGATGCTGCTTGACATGTTTTATTGGTGAGGTCCCTGTAATGCCATAACTGACCCCTATCTGCTTCTGTGAACCAAAAGTATTTCCACGATATCTCTAGGACCGGAGACATTTTTTGTTTTCTGGCGATTTACACGAGACCTGTACAGTCAACACGAGCCTGCATGAGTCTGCACATACTGTACTTGAAATGTGCACAATTGCATTTATTCCCAAATACCAACAGCAGAGATTGGTTTTAAATGCATAAAGCAATCAAGCTGCTTAACATTCAGCTGAGGCTGTTTATTGCTGACATGGATATGCTGCATATCACATCAATGCTATATCTACAAACATACGATAAATATGAGCAGATGTAATCTTTCCCATAATCACCACAAAACATTTTTAATAGGATTGCAGTCATGGATTGAATTACGAGTGCAGCTAATGTACGTTTCATGCATGCTCTTCGTATTGTAATGCATGGATTAACTTATTGTTCATTTGACAATCGACTGTGAGTCCGTTTTGGTTTTGTAATTGTGTTTCTGTTAAGTTTCTGAATGTTGAATATGCATGCTTATTTTCATGGCTGTATTAAAAAAAAAACCCCATCGTTTTTTTACATGTACATTCACTATATTCCAGCAAATTGGATGTATGTATTCATGCTAACATTTAACTTCAACTGCCTGCAGACATGGAGGTGAAGGAGCTGAGCAAGAGAGCTTCGGGCCATGCTTTTGAAGTTATCCTGAAACCTCCATCTGCTAGCAATGCGGAAATCCCACTGTCTCCCCCAAGAAAGAAGGATCTTTCTCTGGAGGAGATCCTCAAGAAGTTGGAGGCTGCTGAAGAGAGAAGGAAGGTATGGCCGAACAAATTCGATATGACTGGCACGAAGGACATGTTTTTAACCGTTGGGGGAGTTGGAAACATTCCCAAGTTGCCCTTTAACCCGGAGGCACATGAGACTGGCATAGAACATTCACATGAAGAGTTCATGCAGTACGGTTCCTAGGGTTTCAACAGAACCGCAGACGATGTATACTTTGTGGTGGAATATATTTACAAGACCGTTGGGTGTTACAGTAAATATTTGAAGTGAACTATAATTTTGTAAACCCATAGCTAAGAGTTGTATTTGTATCTCTTAATTTGACTAATGGGCAGACAAACCTCACATCCGTAAGATATTTGAGTTTTGGTTGTCCAAGCTCACTGAGCTTTATTTTTGTATGATTTTTTTACGTTCAAGAAAAAATATGCTCATAGATTGATTAATACTTGGTTGATATGCAGAAATGGTATATATTGACAGGGCAGTCTTGATATGAAAAACAAATTCTATGCCACAATGGTAGTGGATCCGAGCAATATCTTAAAATGCATTTGACCAATAGTACAGCACAGAACTCTAGACCCGTTAAAGCACTGGGCACACTCGGAATGCCGACGGCACCGGCGATCAATGGGCGAACAATTTGTGTGCGTAGTCGCAGGAGGCCCAGGTGCTGAAGCAGCTGGCCGAGAAGCGCGAGCACGAGCGGGAGGTGCAGCAGAAGGTGATGGAGGAGAACAACAACTTCAGCAAGATGGCCGAGGAGAAGCTGTCCCAGAAGATGGAGGTGACCAAGGAGAAGCGGGAAGCCCAAATAGCCGCACTCATGGAGCGGCTGAAGGAGAAGGTGAATGCACCACCACAGCCTTGCGTTGCCCGGCCACGTCCGTCACCATCGCAGCGCTCCATTGCAACCAAATATATATATCTGTTCCAGTTGGTGTGAACGGTAGCCCTTGAACGTCGTATGTTAGCATTTGACCAAAAAATTTCAGCTGGCTTTGGGGTGATTTTTGTTTGCAAAAATGGGCTTTGACTTATTTGTGTTGGTGCAAGCTTGGAATGATAGATTCAGAGCAGAGATCTGTTAAAATCACACCCGTCACAGAGCTGGGACTGTCCAGGCAACAAGACTAAGGTCTGGTCGAATGCAGTTTTTAATAATAATAATAGAATGGTATACATTCCTTCGTCAGTCCACTGTTGTGTAAAGGCCTCTCCTTGCTGTGTGAGACATTGAGGTTGTTTGACCATACTTCACTACCCTGGTCAATGTAGGTTAGTGAAGGGGGGGGGGGGGGTGCACTCAGTACCAGTTTGGATATCACTCACCACCGATGTTAGCTGTGGCCCTAGAAACAAACCCAAGTTAGCCCGGTTCATAGCGCAGTGTTTTAACCATCACCTTTTAAATGTAGCCAACTAAAATTAGACATCTTTGTCTGAAAATGTGTCTCTGGTTGTGTGATGTGCAGGAGAAGCATGCTGCAGAGGTCCGCAAAAATAAGGAGCTGAAGGAGGAGCTGGTGGGATGAAGGGCAAGTCAATCTGTATTCTGTACTGAATGGAACTGGATACAGTGATACACACGCTTCTTTAATGTGAACAGCATTTTATCATTGGGCTTTTGGGTGGTTTCCATGAAAGGTTTGTGAATTTTGAGTTACATGTTCAAATTGCCAAACATCTGCATATATCGTTGCCTCACTGAATAGGGTTTGACAATAAACTTGAAAAAAAATAGTAATGTTATTGCCTGCTATTTGAGCCTGTTGTTAATGTACAAGTAAAAGTTATGTATTTCCTCACTTGTGTTGGTATTTGTTATTTGTACTATTTTGTTTGGTTTTATGTAGTTGTTTATTTTGCTACAATCTCCAGATAATAACCACATTCCTGATCAGAAGCTCTCCTGTCTGCCAGAATAACAGGGTGGTGCAATACAGCTCAAAATAGTTCTGTAACTTACATTGTAATCATTTGGTGGTAGTGTAGCTGGTTGGCAAGGCCACAATAAGCATTGAATGGGTAATGCACATCACGACCCTTGTAACTTTCGAAGCGCCGTATTGTTAACGGAGAATTAACTTCAAAACAACACTTTTTTGGTGAACCAAGTAAATATTGTTTTGAGCTGTAGGTAACCTTAACTGGTGTCACCTGAAGTTACTTGCATGTTGCAGAAAGGATACATACTTTTGAGAGCAGTATTTTTTGCGCTGCACAGTTGGATCCAAAGCTATGTGAAACTAAATGTGAAATAGAGCATTGTACACAAATTTGTGTACAGGTTCCAATTGTTACTATATTGGCTTAATTGTTAAGGCACTTACATGTAATTTAACTGGTTGTGCAGTATAAAATATGTTTTGCTACAAGTAACAATAGCTTAACCTAGAAGTGCACAGTTGTGGCTTTCTGAATGTTAGAATGGCATATGTAAATGTCCTTGTATGTTGTTGCCTTCTATGCAGTACATTTGAGTACTAGTTGTTGCCATAAAGGCCACATTCGCCATCATTCATTTGTTTAAATAAAGTTTTGAACTTGATTTCTCTTGTCTGCGTTTTTTTTTCACTTGTACAATTGATTTTTGATTTAAAGCTTTCGTGACTGCAGATATTTATATTCTTGGTTCTTTCGGTAAAGTCACGTAGAAGGGAAACAATAAAATAATAAAAATATAAAACAATAAAATTCTCACGACGTTTCGACTGCAACACAAGCAATCATCATCAGGTGTGAAACCCACAGCAATAAAATTTGAAAAAAGTGGGAAAAAACGCCATTTTAAAAAAAAAATATTGCTGTGGTTTTCACACCTGATGATGATTGCTTGTGTTGCAGTAGAAACGTTGTGAAAATTTTATTGTTTTCTATTTTTATTTAATTGTTTCCCTTCTACGTGACTTTACCGAAAGAACCAATAATTTGTACAATTGAATTGTTTTTTTTGTTGCTCAATGCAATAGCCATTTATTTGCAAATTATTTGCGATCTAACAGGTTATGTTATTATATTCTTAGTTTTTTCGGTAAAGTCACGTTGAAGAGAAACAACAAAATAATAAAATATATATAAAACAATAAAAATATATATTATTATTTTGTTGTTTCTCTTCAACGTGACTTTACCGAAAAAACTAAGAATATGAATTACTGCAGTCACGAAAGCTTTAAATCAAAAGGTTATGTTATATTTGTATATACACCATACACTGTGATAATGGTTTTTCAGTAATTATTTCCTAGATGTAATAATAACATTACATTCTTGTTATCAGACAGAAGGCGTGATCACCAATTCGCAAAATGTCGCTCTGCGTTTAGCTGGCGAGAATATTGGCATAGATTGCACTGCTCATTGCTCCCGCTGGTGACCAACGTGTATTGCAAACATAATACTTTAATAACAAGAGTTGTAATAAAGCACTTCCGCTGCGAGAGCGGTTAAACACTGCCACAAATTGCTGTCAGGTTTGACTCTCTCCCCGAAGGCAATGTGCGGCAATAAACTGGTTATCACGCAATCGCATTTTCCGCAAGCCGCGTTATGAATTGCGAACATTGCTGTTCGTTAGCTGTCGGCTCTGCTGCTGCACTGCAGTGCTTGCTGTTTTGCCTCGGCTGACCTATTTTTTTCGACAGCAGTGATTGTGTAAAGCTCGCGATCAAGGATGTTCTCCATCTGTTGCAGCGGAGGTCACCATATGCCACACACGCTAAAGCAAAAAAAGGTCACCTGCACATTTGTCTTTGTGTCACCTCGTAGCCGTTTGCGGGAGGGTTTATTGAAGGCCTGGAAAATGCTATTAAGCATTAAAAAAAAAAGTGTTCACGTTACTTCGAACAAAAATATTTCCATTAGACTTTTGCTGCACACAAGAACAAAGGGCTGCTGCATAACGTTAGGCGGGGGCGGGGGGGGGGGGGTCTTCACGTATCTTAATTCCATAAAAATTAAAATATTACATTAATTTTCAGGGCAGCGCCCCTGTGTGCATTGGTATTCAATTCTGATGTAATAATTTTATCACTGTATTTTTCAGGGTCTGTCAATAGATAGATACCTGTGTTCAGACATTTTCAATACTGTCACTTGCTGCTGACCTGCTCCTACTGGACCATCTTTAAAAAGAGATGTTTTTTTCTCATCGGATTACTCCGATAGATATAACGATGCAGATTCTGATCCACTTGCAGGATTTCATGCATACGTTTTTATTTAAAAAATGTAAAGCATTTTTTTGTGTATAGATGAAGATGGGGCTTTATAACCTTTATGCTAAAATGCTATATGGGCTTTACTCTTTACGAAAGTCTCGTCGTTTTGACATGCCTGGACCTAAAATACTGCTGCAGCCTCTTAAAAGGGCTCATATGATGGCCACTAATGGAGCCGCCTGATTTACCACTGCGCCTATGGGAAGATAATCCGAGCTGGCAATTGGGAATTAGTCTGGGAGGTCATCCCTAAATTTGCCGGGACATGATTGACGGCTAACAATTAAGACGCGGTTTATGGTAATGTTGATAACAAATTCATATAAATTGTGCCGGTGCCCTTTTATGCTTGCCAGCAAAGTTCCTAAATTGTAAGCTTCTCGCTCTGGATGGGCCTGTGCGAAAACAGTTTAAGTTATGCACAAAGAGCTGAGCTCGGACGAAACGGAGACCACACATGGCTCTGGGAACCCTTTTCGCTCTCCCATTCCAAACCAGCCTTGCGCAGACGCAGAGTTTCTTCGTTATTATCCAGGGAGCTCTGCGGGCTATATTTTAACCTCCTCAGCCGCGCGCCACCATACAAGGCCGTGAAAGTCTTCGCATGCCCGAGATGCGACCCAGAGGTATTACAGTGTTTATTATTATTACTACTACTATCACTCCTGCCTCTCCAGCCCGCTTTGCTGGTGCCAGCTTGGAGTGCATGTCTACCGGCCAACCAACCATCCGCAGGCACCCCACCCACCTGTCACCACTAGCACGATCAGCAGTACCAACACCACTTCATCCCATCGCAGCATCATCGCCCTCGTCGCCCCCATCCGAAAGCCACAGCCCTTGCCCTTCAACTGCTGAGACCTAACGCGCGCCTGCTCGGGTGCCACAACCACCATCGCCGAGTCCTGGACCGCGGGCTGCTCTTCGCGTCCGGTGAGTTTCACGCTCGAGCATTCGCGAGCAGCGACATCAATCGCTCTGCGTGCACTCAAGAAGGCAAAGTTTGGTCGGGCAAGTCAAAGCGATCTCCGGCCCAAACGCACGCGTGTTGAAATTCGTTCGCGCCGCACGTAACCGACCGTGCTAAATTGGAGGGCAGAGGACAACAAGCTAAACACAACTGTGCATTGGGGCGCTGTTCGTCACACGTTAACAGCCCTGAGTCGGTGGTGGAAATGCCCAGTTCCTGTGCCAGGGGCGAGTCTATCCATAGGACAACCGCAGTTGACTTTCCCACGAAGTGGGGAATTATTTTATCTATCGCAGAGAGATGATGGGTTGTCAATCCACCCCCTCGACCAGGTCTTGAACTCGCAACCTTTCCGATTGCGAGCTGCTCGCTCTCCCGCTGAGCCGCCCGGCCACTCTCGGCACGTTTCGAGCGGTTGCTGATGGCTGGGGTCGAGGTGTGAATCGTGTACCTGTTGCACATCAACACAGACAAAGCTGTGCGCGTCGCAAAACTTGATAGTTGTTACCGTCAGCGATGCTAAGCGGTTCATTACAATAATGCGTCTTGAAACTGTTTTTCACACATTGATTGGTTCATCAGCGGTAAACTTCAGTGTCAGCATTTCCTGAAGAAGGCTAGTCGGCCGAAACGACGACCTAGTCATTTCATGTGACAGTATAAAAAATAAAATCTAATTTTTACTTCTAATCAATCCGTGATGTACAAGGCAACTCAAGCAGCAAATAAAGAATATTAGAAAACTGCGAAGTGTAGACAGTACACATTTACTACATGTGTGTTGGTATAATAATGACAGTTTTTTTTCCAATTGTTCATATATAATTCATGTAGCGTACATAGACGTTACATAATAGCAAACGCACGTGTACAATTCAATGAGATTCGTGTTAACAATGACCATGTTTATATTAGTCGCTATCAAATGAGAGACTTGCTAATCCGTCTGTTGTTTGTGTATTTGACATCCTATGTAACAACAGAATTAAAAAGTGCATTGATGGTAAAAGCGAATGCGTCATTGCAGGGTGATAAAAGGGATTCCATGTTAATAGTGAGTGGGGGCTGTTCAGAGCCTGTTCCCAAACCTTCAACGAGTTTGCGTCGGCGTGGAACCTTCGTATATCCTGTCGACGGTAATGTAACCTGTCGTGCCGATGTTTACCTCCAAGACTTCGAATTTCAGATTTAAAAAAAACAGCACAGTGTTGTTGTGTGCATCGAGTCGTATCGGATACAGTATTCGTTTGTATGAACGTTAAATATTAGTTTTTACACATAGGTATTTGGGTATTTTAAGATATCTGAAAATAGCTGAAGTAGTATTCGTCAGCGTATTGGAATTGTCTACAATGCAGGAGCAGTCGAAGTTTTTTGACCGAGGTATCAAAATAGAATAGTTGCTCAATGCATTATTAGAGTTATATTGTCTTCCTAACTATCCCTATGGACTACTCTATATGTGGCACTGTGTTGTATTGACAAACTACAATAGGATATAGTATTATATTTCTTTGAATGATTGCTACATTTGAAAACTTCAAAACGGTCATTAAACTTTCCACTTCATTGACTTAATCTCCAAACTTTTTTGACTTTATCCATTCACGGGTATGCGGATGACGGCGTAAACGAACCGCGCATCGAGTCATTAATTGATCGAGATTCTAATTGCTCGCGGTGCAATGCATCAATTCAGCTGCGTAAGAATCGATTACTTTGTTCATTGTAAGCCAATTATTTGCATTGAGGCGGGATGGCGCACATAACCGTAACAAACGAGACGGACACAAACGAGGCGAAATAATCTACCCTTGAATTGAACCTTGGCCGCAACTCGTGACGAATCAGTTAAATTGGCACATCGTGAATGCTCCCACCAATCGCTTATCTTCGTGCGTTAGAGAGTAATTGTACGATATTAATTGTATGTGATAATGAGTTTTTTTTGTGCGGGGGGGGAATTGAAATTCAACCCTACATGGAATGCAATCGGCAGGCTTAATGAATAGTTCGTCAAAGTTATCCGAGCATAATTAACCGGTAATGTGACACTTTATTTATTTAATTAGATGTGTTTGTTCGTAAAACAAAGACCTGTGGTTGTAATTAGGGTGAGTCAGGTGGTTACGTAATTAGTAATGCATTTTAAGACAATTGACCCGAGGAGCGCACTAATTAATGGTATTAATCGTGAGAAGGGCGATGAATAGTGACCCCTGTTGTTAAATGATGCATTGATGGGGCCGCTTGAGTGAGTGTTAATCTCTCGCAGGCTTGATTAGGAGATGACGTGAATGGGATTCGCTTGATTAGGAGGCGGTGTGAATCGGCGAACTTGCGATTGGCCACGTCAGCACAGGGATCGGACTTTGTAGCTGCCAACTCACCTGGGAAGAGATGTCAGTGGTCCCGATTAAAAAAAAAACTAAAAATGTGCCGATGCTCCCACATGAAATACATCCCGCGTGCATTTTGCTGAATACATATTTACTGTGGCTCAAATGCAATTCGTTGCAACATGCAATGGTTGGGGTGGAGTGGTGGCGCAGTGGTTAGCACACTGCGCGATTAACCTTTTGTTTGAGTCTTTGAGTGGCGAGTGATATCGCAACTGGTCCACCAAGCTGTCCCCCGTCCCCGCCCGCCCCCTTGCCTTTACCAACCTCGACTGAACCAGCGTGGTGAAGTATGGTCAAACAACCCTCATATACTGCCACGGAATAGGGTGGCCTTCCTCAAGCAGTGGATTACCTCGGGCTTTAAACGATCGTTATACCGCATTAACTAATGGTTACGTGAAACACCAGTGAGGATTTTTGGTAGGATTATTATTTTACAGACGGTCTTGCAGTAGCTGTAATAAATCCCGCACATTAATGGGAAATCAAAAAGAGAGTGGAACCAAAGTCAAGTCGGGTGATGTTGGAACTATACAAGAGTTGTTGGTTCATTTGTTGACACGGCAGTAATTCTATCAAGGATGCACAGTGCGGATAATGGGCTTTCAAAACAACCTTCAACATGCTTCCTCCATCCCCAGCCTCTCGGGACCGATTTCATGTTTGTAAATCGATAAATGCGTGCAGTGCACGTTTTTTTTCTTCTGACTTGTGAAAACATATCCACCTGATTTACATGTGCATTGGAAGGACAGGATACAGAAAGTGAAGTCTGTCGTGTTTTGTTGGTGGTTCGAGAGACTACAGTGGTTTGAGTGTTATGTTAGGTGTTCCTATAGGATACAAATGTATTTGAGGTGGCCTTTTGGCTCAGAGGTCAGAGCGCTGAGCCGGTGACCAGGCACCACTGACACCCTGGGTTTGAATTCAGGCAGTCACTCGATAAACCAAGTTGTTAACACATCGCAAGTCAATGATGTAAGTCTGGGCACCAGTGACAACACACATTTGGATTTTCACTGACCTTGACAAAAATTTCAGCTGCGGGAATATAAAATATGGGTTGTAATGCTATATGACATTAAACACTTCTGTAGAAGGGTGCGTGGGAAAGTGCGCCCCCTATAGAGGTTAAATGAAGAAATCTCAGAAGTAGTTCTTTAGCGGTAATGCAATTTAAAACGCGCACAATATTTCACGGACGTAAATGACCGTGGGATGTTTTCTAAGAATACATGTGGTGATGCGCACTCCTACAACAGCTTTTCGAATGAATGTTTCACCTCATGATACGACACTGGCAGAACATTTAGAATGATATTTGGGAAAATACGAGGAATTTCTCGTTTTCGTTAATTTACTGCAGTTGAAATTTTGCACTTACTAATTATTGTATTGTCTTTAGTTAACCCAAGATGCCACAACACATTCTCAAGGAAAGTTGAGTGCGTTTACAGATTTTCTATCGATTTTTACTCCCTGTTTGGCTTCCCGCAATATTCCGCATTACGGTAAATGTTGATGGCTTACGTTAGCACCATTGGATATTGTCTTTCCAAAACACATGTTTTCTCAGTAGAGCACTTTGGAACCTGAGAAATAGCAATCTGGATCCACTTTGCTCCCTTCTTCAGTGGTCCTTAGCTAAACAGCTTGAACTTATGTTTTAAAACATTCATAATTATGCTTAAGAGCCACATTTATCATACATTATGGACATGATCTCAAGAACACCCCTTTCTTCAAAGAAGACGTCCCATCCACTTAAATGACTTCACTGCAGGTGTATTCTTGAAATCTATTAATTTCAATTTGTAATATTATACACACTATGAACGACAATAATATTACCCAAAGCAAATGGCAATGATCTATAAATTGCAATGTTATTTAGTTGCAGTGCCTGGCCTATGGATAATCATATTTCAATTCTGTGTGTGTGCATATTTCAACGGAGTCAATCTGTAACCCAGTTGAACAGCTGTTAGAGTATATGCTTGAGAAAATAACCTTGAAACATTTAAACTACTTTGCAGGCATTCAGAAGAGGCCTATTAGCTTATGCACGCACTTGTTTTTTTAAATTATCAAAGAGCATGTGGTGTTTTCAGTCGGTGCTCGCAGCATGCAAGTATTAATGCCTTTGACCAAATCATCCAGAATCCACCCGATCTCGTCTCATCTGGGAAGCTAAGCCGGGTGAGAGTCTGGATAGTGCACCGAGAGGTGATCACCACACACGTGTAGGTCCCATAGGGTTGCTGTACTGGGCGGTAGGCAGCAGAGGGCAGTCCAGCATCATCTATTATTGTACTGTACCTGTACGCTCCCAGGTCTATGCTCCTCACCGCCTTTACCAACCCACACTAACCAGGCGTGGCGCAGTCTCGTCAGTCAACCTTCACGATCTGCACGGCGTGGGCTTGGGGGAGGGGGGGGGGGCTCACCAGAAGGGTGGTGCTTGTGACAGGTACTGCAATTGCCATGGAGCGATTGACATGAATGGTGACTTTTGGGGACTCCATCACTGGCCCTCCCTTGAAGGTTTCCAGGCTTGGTTGGGGAGGTTGGACTGTGGCCTGGGGTTGCGTAAGTAGTTCGACCTCGTGGACTCATTTCTTTGTCTTAACTTTTTGTTGTTGTTGGTACTTTTAGTTTTTTGGTGCCGATTCTTTATTTGTATATTGATTTATAAATTTGCTTGGTATTAGTAGGGGTTTACATTTGCTCGGTAGTGGCTATATGTGGGATTTGGTGCATATAGATGTATGTTGCACTTCTTTCGCACCGTACGTAGCGAACCGTGCTAATTGGAGGTGCGGGAAATATAAATGTATGTTTCATGAATGTACTTCGTTATGGGATGCCGGTAGCATAAATGACGCTGTGTAAAATAAAAGTACTATTATTAAATGCAGTGGGGGGTATTTTTTTGACTTACTTAATACATTCACATTACAGCTGTGCCCCATTCTCACGAGCGATTCGGATAGGATCCACCCCCTACCCCCGCCCTCCACCACCACCACCCACCACCATCAATTCGCACTCGGCAGCTGTGATGCGACCTAAAGCCGGCGCACAATCGTCACTCCCCGCGGGGTGTTTGCTGGGCTGGGACGGTATCGTTTTAGGAGCTGTCTCCGGACGCCTGGTGAACGAAGGGCTTTAGAAACGTGGCCGCTGTAACGGCCCCCATATATAGACCGTGCCCAGCCTCGGGTGTGGCTTAGGGGGTATCGGAGCGTGCTGACCCCTCGTCAGTGCCGGATTATCCTCGTAGCAAAAGTAGCTGCATAAGCTACGGGCCCCGCACTTTCAAGGGCCCCGCGCTAAACGCTTTCAAGCTATCAATTCCGGTTCGGTGATTCTGCACTTGCTCTATCACTATTGTACTATACCGCCTTCCACTTTAATGAACGACTGGGTGTTTAAGGTTAGCGATTTGTCGTATTATCTGGCTGTGTAGCAAATTAAAACATAATTACTCTACTATGCAGGTAAAAAAATGTATGTGTTTAAATATTTACGTTTTTAAAAAAAATGTCGGGCCCCTTGATAACATGTGCTACAGGGCCCCGCACTAGCTTAAGCCGGCAATGCCCCTCGTCTCGGTTGAATTGCCTCTCGGCGAAGTCCCCTGCCACAGGCGTTGCGCTGGCGAGGTCAGCACAAAGAACCACTTAGATGTGTCGGCGTCCTTCGCCGGTTGATCTGAGCCATGGACCTGCGAGCCGCGGAACGACCGAGTGCGTTCTCTCAGAAGTGGGCCACCACCTGCTCGGTGACATTGTGCCAACATTGAGAACCTCGGGGTGTAATCCTCACTCATGACAACGGGCAAAACCGAGAAAGTCTGTTCTCATGGAAAAAAAAATGGCGTTATAATAAAAATATATATATATAACGCAGAGGTACATCGCAGTCCGTGATAACACGTGAGATGCGTCTAGAAGCATCCAGCAGCATCCCGCTGCCTCGTGCGACGCTGCTACGCCGAGGCAGCCGCACAGCCGCTTATTCCTCCTCGCGCAACGTTGTTCCGTTCGCTCAATCGGTCGCGTTATATCCGATTCGCATCTTGCGTCATGAACCAAAAATGTTCTCTAATACATTAATCGCGTTATATCCAATTCGCGTCGTGAAGACAACACGCTTTATAGGCGAACAGACCGTATAAATAAAGGGTTTGACGGGCTGACTGACATCCCCTATCAATAAATTGTGATGATATGTACAGTCGGCGTGAAACGGTGCAGTAGTTCATCAACTGCAATTGAGTCCTACGGTCGAGATAAACTCAACAAATAACGCTTGCGAGAACCCTTTTGAAGCGATGCATGAAAATAGCACGCGAGACGATACCCCCCCCCCCCCCCCTCCCCCGTGTTACGTTTAGGCCAGGGGAGAAAACAGGAGCCGACACAAACGAGACAAAACGAATGCGATAAGAACGTGCGTGCGGGATGGTCGTGCGTGCGACGGACACGGTGACTCAGTCAAATCGCGTTCCCAAAAATCATGGCCGTTGCGTGAAACGTCGATTTGCAGCGCCGTGGAGTTTGGGATTTCAGAGGGGGACTGCAACGACCGCCGGGCTCAGGATGGAGACCACCGCCGCTCTTCCCTTCTACCAGAAACGGCACGAGCACTTCGACCGGAGCTACCGCTACGCGGAGACGCGCAGCATCATGCAGAAGTACCTGCGAAAGGACAAGAAGCGGTGAGCGGGCGGACGTGGGGGAGGCCCACAGGGCCATGTGCGCACTGACACAGGGCGTGGTGTCACGAGCGCTTCGGCATCGTGGAGCCGTTCCGAGTCTTTTTGTGAGGCTGTGTTATATAAAATTGTGGTGGTTGTTGTTTTTTTTTTTTTTAAACTAATTTACCCATGAGAGCCACACTAAATCATTAGAATCGTTTTTCAGGATGCTCCGGCATTGAGTTTTTTTTATTTTATTTTTGCGTTGTTTTAAGCCGATGCACGAGTGCTTGTGCACGTGGGAGGGAAACCGGAGAGTCCGGAAGGAAAAAAAAATCACGCATACAGATGGACACAGATGGTGATTAGCCCGCTTGCTGTCCTGCCATCTCCTGGTGGAGCCAGGGTATGGCACCTCGTCGATGCCAGCAGGAAGGGAGTTTCACAATATTTGTGCGATTCACCAACCCTCGCCCTCAAATCGCTGGATTACAGGCGTGCGAAGCACACCACATACAAAAGTAAAAAAAATAATGTTTACACAAGCCATTGGCCCCACAACCTGGGCGCTGAGGAACAGGCGAATAGGTGAAAAGGTCAGGTACGTGAACTTTATCCGTAACTATCCCGGCCTCTTCCGTTCTCATTTGATTAAGATGAAATAAACCTGAAACTGGACACCTACGCCATGCACAAACACTGCATTGGTTTGTCATCTGGGCGGGATGTATGTGGCCAGATGTGCGACGTCGTAGTGTGCCTGCAACTGCGAACACATTTCACGTGCGGTTCTCAACACACGACTTTACCGCTGCTTGCGCCCGTGCTCCGCGTCCGCTTCTCTCAACTTTGCGAGCAGCCTTGAAGATGACGCCGAGTCCAAAGGCGCCTTCGTGCAGCGGAGCAGCGTCCTGAGTCGCCAGGAGCAGGAGGTCAGCCAGAAGCACCGGGAGAGCCTCCACTTGACGAGGAGCCACAAGCAGCAGCAGCAGCAGCAGCAGCTGCAAGTCTCCAGCAGCCAACAGCAGCAGCAGCAGCAGCAGCAGCACATCAAGAGCAGCTTCAAGCACCGGGAAGTCGAGGGGATGCACCTGCAGCACCAGCAGCAGCAGCAGGTGAAAGGGCTGCATCGGCAGCTCGACAGCGGGAGCCACTTGGTCCATGATGATAGCAGCCATCAGCATCATCTTCAGCAGCAGCAGCAGCATCATCATCTTCAGCAGCAGCAGTATCAGCAGCAGCAGCAGCAGCATCAGTATCATCATCACCAGCAGCAGCAGTATCATCAGCATCATCAGCAGCACCATGTGGTGGAGGTGTGTCTTGATTGTCATGAGAAGAAGCTGCGTGAGCAGCAGCAAGAGGTGATCGGGAACGGGCTGGGGGTCGCGCAGGGGTACAAGGTGGGGGACGCGCAGGGGTACGGGAAGCAACAGGGCGTCCACGCGTGGTGCGTGGATGACGCTGTGGAGGACGAGGAGCTGGAGGAGATCGCCCGCACCGTCAGATCGTCCCGCAAGGAGATCCGCAAGAAAGCCGCCCAGCTCGCTCTGCGCAGGAAGGTGCGTCGGGGCACATTGATGACACTTTGAGACTGGAGCGTGCCTTTGCCTAACTGCAACCGCTAACTACTACTGCTGTGAGTTAACCGCCCCGTCATACTACAATACCCTGTTTGGTCATTTTGTAGTAAGTGCGCACAGCTTGCAATCCTCCACAACCAGAGAACCCGTAAGTCAAGCGATGCAACCAAGAGAGAGAGAGAGCGAGCGAATAAGGGAAGGAACATAGTATCTGCTCTTCAGGTGTCCTAGGAGCAATGACACCTGGAGTGGTGACGTGGGTCTGCGTTGGCGTACATTTGCCGCTCGCTACGGAGGATTCCCAGTTCGAGGCCAGTGGCCGCCCCGGTTAATGCTGCGCGTGTATTGACCATACATAACCGCCGTCAGCTTCACCGTGGACGTTATTTAAAAAAAAATCCCATGAATAGTTATTCAGTAAGAAAGAGGAAGGAAATGTGTGTCACCAGCTTGGGTCCATAATGTATTTTGGTTATACTTAAATTACTCGTGCAGAGGAACATCGTCCCCTGCCGGGAGGACCGATGTCTATGTGCTGGCTGGTGCTACATTTGTCCTGCGCCACACAGGGACAGCTGCCACTGGGGTCCCCTTGGCTAGACGTGATGTCAGGCGCTTTTTGAGTTGCTTAGGCCATCCCTGTACGAGTGTTCTGTCTCATCCAATCCGTGTTCAGTCACCGCTGTGCCGGAGGTCAAAACACTTCCCTTCTCTAACAGCATGGGACCTCCTTTGCCAGTACCAAAATATGAGAATAGGTTTTCCCCTTTTTTTGGCAACAAAACAGGTTTTAATTTAAAGCGTTTGTGACTGCAGGGATTCATATTTTTGTTTTTTTCGGTAAAGTCACGTAGAAGGGAAACAATAAAATAATAAAAATATAAAACAATAAAATTCTCACGACGTTTCGACTGCAACACAAGCAATCATCATCAGGTGTGATGATGATGATGAACACCTAATGATGATTGTTTGTGTTGCAGTCGAAACGTCGTGAGAATTTTATTGTTTTATATTTTTATTATTTTATTGTTTCCCTTCGACGTGACTTTACCGAAAGAACCAAGAATATGAATAACAAAACAGGTGTTAGACCAGAGAACGCCAAACACCTCTTTGAGACTAGGCTCCAAATAAAGCTGTCTGTGGTGTGGACCAATCAGTTTCAAAGACAATGCATATATGATCAGAGTATGTTTTTTGTTTGCATTCTGACTACAAGCCTTGTGGTTAATGCAGACATGATTCCTTGTAAAAGGTTTCAGTTTGGTGTTTTAACATCTCAACACCTGTTTTGTTGCCAGAAAAGAGGGGAAAACCTATTCTCACTTCCCTTCTCTCTTTGCAAATTCCCTCGCACCGCTCGACTTTGGAATTCCCTCCCATCATCTTTGTTGGTTGTTGTTTCAAACATATTCTAATAACCTTACTCAATTCTAGAAAACCTATAAACTCTCATCTGCTACAACTTTAATAGGACTGCTTGTTGCTGGACACTTGACATTTTGGGCATTCGGAACTGTGGCTTAGCAAGTGTGATTTAAATAAATAAATACATCGGCATGTCTCCTCTTAACGTGTCCCCCTGTTGATGTAGCCCTGTTGATGTCTCCCTGTTGATGCCTCCCTTTTGATGTCTCCCTCTTGATGTTTCCCTGTTGATGTATCCCTTTTGATGTCTCCCTCTTGATGTTTCCCTGTTGATGTCTCCCTGTTGATGTAGCCCTGTTGATGTGACCCTGTTGATGTAGCCCTGTTGATGTAGCCCTGTAAATGTATCCCTGTTGACGTCTCCCTGTTGATGTAGCCCTGTTGATGTAGCCCTGTTGATGTCTCCCTGTTGATGTCTCCCTGTTGATGTTTCCCTGTTGATGTAGCCCTGTTGATGTATCCCTCTTGATGTTTCCCTGTTGATGTCTCCCCGTTGATGTTTCCCTGTTGATGTAGCCCTGTTGATGTTTCCCTGTTGATGTCTCCCTGTTGATGTATCCCTGTTGATGTAGCCCTGTTGATGTTTCCCTGTTGATGTCTCCCTGTTGATGTATCCCTGTTGATGTAGCCCTGTTGATGTCTCCCTGTCGATGTCTCCCTGTTGATGTAGCCCTGTTGATGTCTCCTTGTTGATGTTTCCCTGTTGATGTCTCCCTGTTGATGTTTCTCTGTTGATGTTTCCCTGTTGATGTTTCCCTGTTGATGTCTCCCTGTTGATGTCTCCCTATTGATGTTTCCCTGTTGATGTCTCCCTGTTGATGTTTCCCTGTTGATGTGACCCTGTCAATGTCTCCCTGTTGATGTCTCCCTGTTGATGTCTCCCTGTTGATGTGACCCTGTTGATGTAGCCCTGTTGATGTCTCCCTGTTGATGTGGCCTTGTTGATGTCCCCCTGTTGATGTATCCCTGTTGATGTCTCCCTGTTGATGTCCCCCTGTTGATGTCTCCCTGTTGATGTTTCCCTGTTGATGTGACCCTGTTGATGTGGCCCTGTCGATGTCTCCCTGTTGATGTCTCCCTGTTGATGTCTCCCTGTTGATGTCTCCCTGTTGATGTCTCCCTGTTGACGTGGCCCTGCTTGACGATGACTCCCGATGGGTACTGTGCAGATCCTGGACAGCGAGGAGTACCAGGAGCGCGTGCGGGATGACAAGGTGCAGCACTCGCCCGAGTTTCTCATGAAGCCGCGGTCGCACGTCGTCTGGGAGAAGTCGACCGCGCGCTTCAACTGCACGGTGCAGGGCAGGCCCACACCCCACGTCAAGTGGTGAGGCCTTAGAGTGTTGCCTGCCGCGGGGCTGCTGCGGTGTCCCGTTTGCCCAATCTGCCAAACCATGAAAATAGATGGAACCTGCAGAATGTGACCAACGGCCTAATGCACCGCGTTGAAGTATGGTCACACTATCCCCATGCTCCAACGCGGCGAGGGGAGGCCTTTACCCACGAGTGGATTCGCAAACGGCCGGAATGTTTTCTTTATTTAGAGCTCGACGAGGTAAGGACCGTTTGTTTTGTCGATGGCAAGATGTTAACTTCCTCGCCTGGTATGCAGGAGGTCGTGGGTTTAATCTCGATGCTGACGCCTGCATATTTGGAGTTTGCATTTCGTCCCGTCGTCACGTGGATTTTTCCTCTGGGTCCTCCGGATTTTCCCTTCACATTTATGAACACGCGTTGAGAGTATTTGCCTGATATCAATGTCCACGCGATAAGCTCCTTCGTTTAACTATCGTTTGTGGACAGGTCACTTCTGAAAAAGAGCTATACAGCTCAGTGAGCCTTACCCAGTAAAAAAGAAATAGTTTAGTTTAGTCTTGTCGGTTGCGTCTTTAACGTGCGCGGTTGCGTCTCTGTCGCGCTGCAGGTTCAAGAACAACAAGCCCATCGATGTGCACCGCGAGCCGGGAAAGTTCCGCATCAGCAGCAACTACGGCGTCCACGCGCTGGAGATCAACTGGTAGGGGCCCCCAGCTCCTCGAGGCCAAGAGCCCAGAAGCCACGCACTCGGACATCCTGACTCCAGTCGAGGAGTCCGATGCTCATATCGAGGAGGGATTCTGTTGTCAAGTTCATGATCGTCATCATGATCGTCATCATAATCATCAGCCGTGATCATAGGTCGGCAACCAAAGTAACGAGGAGAGACATTTTTTTCGAATTCTTAAAAACAAAAAAACTTTAATATTTCAAGAGCCGCAATGCATGTAAATACGAGACGGTGGGTCCTTAATAAATAACGTCACTTATCATCCTTAAACAGCCGCATGCGGCTCCGGAGACGTAGGTCTCCTGGGCATGATCAATTCCCTGCTGGATGAAGACGTCCCCAAGTTGCCGCCATGCGTCAGGGTCTTGCGATTTAACGATCCATCTAGTACCCGCACCTGGAGCTGAATTCACAGCTCCATCGGCGTTGTCTGTGTCCTGTGTAAAGGGGGGCGCCTGCTCTGCAGTCATCAGCAGGCCAGGCTGAAGGGATGTCCACAGGCCTTGCGATGGATGATCTGTAATATTAGATACGATGGATGATCTCTAATATTAGATGAATGCGAGACAAGTAGAAAAACGCCCACTCCAATTCCCCAACAGCTCAGTCGGCGGTTGGCGCTTAGTCCTAAACAGTAAAACTGTGTTACATAACTCTGCATTGCAAAGGACAATATACGATAACGTTGATTTAGTTTTCTCTTATTATTTATTTTCTTGTCTGCATCACTTCGCCAATAACAATGCACAGGGTGTCAGAGTTCACCACGTAGGGTTTGTAATTACCACATTTTAAATTGAGGTATAAATCATCCTCTGTCTCTTCTATCCATTGGCAAATTCTGGATACTGATTATTTGATCGTGTTATGGTAACGTGTAGGTAATCCCATTATTCACAGCCCATCTGATGTGTGTTTGCCCGTGACCAATTCACCGTTGATGTGCCCAATCTCACTGGGCTCTTAGAAGCTAAATAGGGTTGACTGTGACTAGTACTTGCATGGGCAACCATCAGTGCATACTTGGCTGCGAGATGGCCAGGAGATGGCCGTACGGCAAATAGGTTCAGTCCGCAGGTCATTCACACCAATGGAACCATCAACAATGCGAAAGGAGTAGCCGCAGCAGGGCTGAGTGTTTTGTCCCAGCCACCAACCGCCACGCCATGAAAATTATTTTGCCTATCACTGTACAGTGTTGCCCATGGGCGGCTGCTCAGTTAACGTCTCATGAAATTGCAGGTGCAGCGAGGATGACACGGCTCAGTACCGCGTCTCGGCCATTAGCACCAGAGGAGAAACGTCCTGCTTTGCCACTCTGGTTGTGAAAAGTGAGTACCCACCTCACCACACCACCCTCCTCTCGCCTTCAGTCGAATTAATCTTACCGCTCAGACGTGGTACTCAAAATGAAGGTTCATGATAATTTGTGTAATTGCAGTTACATTAGGTACGATGTCGGGGTAGGCGTATACTCATACATCGATATATTGACTTGAATTTATTACTGCGCTCACGTTACATCGATCAAATTGTGCACGTGCGAACTGATTGTTGACGATTTATGCAAATTATATGTAAATCATATGACGGGCTAACTGAGTGTACAAAAGCAATACGAACATGACAAAACGTGAGATGCGAGTACAAAATAGAGAGAGAGAGAGACGGTAAAAAAATGAAACGAAAAACCTATTTGGTCTTGAATCGTATCGCCACCATAAATATTTGTGACAATTCAATCAAACGGCTAGCGTTGTGGGTTTGTTCCAGGCCTCGCGTTCACCATTTCCACAAATCAATGGGGAACATCCAACTTTTTGTCCCGCTCGGCTTTGTAACCTCGGATCGCTGAAGGGAGTGATCGCGGCGGGGGGGGGGGGGGATAAACGAACGAACGAGCGAAGCAGTTTCGGGCATTTCTCCCTTTGGTCGGAGCTCAACTCCGGTGTTTTGTGTTGCGGCAGGATTCAGGAGCGAGTTTGACGAGACCAGCTTCTACTCCGGGATCTCCACTTTCCCCTTCGACTGTGAGTCGTTTGAGCTCGGAGAACCTCCTCTTTGCTCAGAGGCAGTTAACAAAAACAATTTGGCCTGGGTTTGCAAATCTTCCGATGTGGGAAATTGGAGGCGCAATGCTTCCCATTGCATTTATTTTACTTACATATATGTATAAGAAAAGTATGTTTTTTTGGTTTCCTAATTTTTAATGTATCAGCCTGGGGAGATTTGCAAACCTAAAAGAAAGTTTCTGTTCTCTGACCGTGAGTACACATGAATCTACTGCGTAGGTTTCTTTTTGCGGTTGTGCTGCAAGGCTCTGCATATGTTGTTTTTGGACCATACCGCATGTTGCTTGGCACGAAGAAGTTCTTGGTACATGGATCGAAACGTCGGACATCATTCCAACAACCCTAAAACACATTAGTGTAGATGATCATCGCCATTACCACTACCACCACCGCCATAACTTCTATCCATCAGCCTCCTTCTCTTGTCAATCACCATCATTCATGCATTATTTACTGCAGATCTTTTAATGTCTCTGTATGCATGGGTTTTATTGAAGAATGTTTATCACGGTTATGATAGCAATTTTTAAGAGAAACTCATTTTCAAGGGGATAGCCAAGTCTCCTAAACCACCCCCCCCCCCCCTCTGCTTCCGTCCAACTAACACTGTCATTTGGTTCACCGCAGATATTTCCTTGGCAGGCCTCGTTTGGTGGGGTAAAGTGTGGGTACTCCCACTCCTTCCGAGATGTCTAGCCAATGTGGAACAGCAGGCCAAGTACCCGCTAGAGGGGTTCCCATGCCAGAGCTCAGCCACCAGTGGCACAGGAAAGAAAGAGCAGGGTTGCACTATTACCTTTGCACCTTCTCGATAGCATATAAATAAAAAAAGTGTAAGTAACTCCATGAATCACATTATATAAATATGTAAAAAAATTACAAATTTAAGAACGTGCTTCAAGATGTTCTCACAGATTCCTGGACGGTCGTGCCAGATGGCGGATTTTTTTTTATTGCGAACTGAGCCCTTGGCGTCTGCTCCGGGGATTGATTTAAATGCCGTCCATGCCCGAGAGTGCCTCTTGCGAAGAACGTGCACTCGGGAGCTGACGAAGGCCTTCTTCAAGCTGACTCGTAAAGCCAGCGTGGTACTTGTTGCGAGCGATTGCTTTGAGGACGAGCGCGTGGGCTCTCGTACAAATTGCTCAGAAGCGCTGATTTCAATATTCTTTCTCGAGACGTTGTGTGTCTCGTGCGTGCTTGGAATTCGTCTCCGATAAGCCCCTTCGTTAAATGTCAAAATCCCCGCAAAAAAATACGTGCGACTCCCTTTAGAATTACGATAGCGTCATTCATGATGATATACAAGCCACAGTGGTTTATCCGCAGCTGTCCCGCATTAGGGTGTTTGGTTGTGTTCATTTAAGCGTGCGGTCGGTGGCTCCGCACGTGGCCTGTGATCCCGTGGGCGTCGCCGTGCCTCTGCCCTGTCTCGACAGGAGAGGGCAGTTCAGCACGTGGACTCATCGCCCTCTGTTTCCGTCTGTATGGGGATAGAGTGTTGCACCTCTGACGCACGCGGGTTTTCTCCGGTTCACTCCCACACTTGTATAATAAACACTCATCATTTAATTGGCTGAAAACATATTAAGATGAAAACCCAAAAGGGGCATGATCCTCCTGATAAAGAGTTACGTGACCCAATGTGCCTCTCCTGGATAAATAAGTGCAATATTAGGTACGTTAAATATTATGAACAGCCTTTTGCATTCGTAAGTAAACCAGAGTACCTGCAGAAACCCCATGCATATTAGGAAATAAAACTCATAAGGTCCACACAGATGGGTTCAACAGCTCATTCGCTCTACTGCCGTCCGCTGACCGCCTCTCAACCCTGTGGGTTTGGGGGTTTTCACAAAACCCGCGTGATACGCCAACCCGTGCCTCGAAAGTGGCGGCTCACAGGCACGCACCACCGACACAACCACTTTAAAGTGATACGGAAAAAGAAAGACGAGAAATGAACAGTAAAATAATCTATCAAAAAAAATTACGTGTAACATATTGTGCATGCATTTAAGTGTACTTGTCTCTCCTTAGTTCTTCAGTACAGACCTGTCACAGGATTTAATTTGTTTCCAAATCTCGTGAAAATAGCTCTCTCTTTATATAACCAGACGAATTAGCATATTTATAGCTTTGCAGTGTAATAGAATTTCTTTTCAATGCGAATCTGTTATAAATGTCGGGCATGCGGTCACAGTAGGAGAAGGTATGGGAGCTAGAAGTATGATACGTATGTCAGTCCCTGACTAATGCCACACAATTTGCTTGCAGCACTATATCAACGGAGATGCCTTTTAAAAATAGTTTGGCTCCTGCGCAGAATAATTCACCGCGCGGCCACTTGAAAGTCGGAGATAATGGAATGGAAAATATTGCCACTGTGGAATGGTTGCACCCTTGACACCGAGCACACTGAAGAGTGTTAATAAAATGTAAATTAGCACGAGTAATGTGACCTACGAGAACTGGGCAAATGTTACCGACGCCATTGCAAAGTTGTAAGTGTGTATTGTATACACAGATACATACATATATTCAGCTTTTGAATTGCGTGAACTGCGCCCATTACATAAAATAATTATAATCAGTCCTTTGTCAATCCGCTGATAGCTTAAAGGCCTCCTCATGCCGTATCGGTCATTTAGGGTTGTTTGACCACACTTTTACGTGCTGGTCACCACAGTTTGGTGTAGGAGATGGCCAGAACGGGGCTCCAATATAACTCGCCGCTGATGTTGGCCATGGAGAGGAATCGAAGTAATGTTGCTCGGTTTAAGTTCGTTGAGATAAACTTCATGATAAACTTAATGAGGGCGATTTTTAAAATCTCATTCTGAGAATGGCTGTGATAAATCGTGATGCAAATATCAAATTTCTATACCCTTGGAGAATGCATTAATCTTTGTAATAGTAGTCGTTTTTGCCCCGGCAATCTTCACAGGTCATTGTGGGATATGATGCGGGTGCACTTGAAATCAGCGTGGTGAAGTATGGTCAAATAACCCTCATGAGCCGCACGGCGTGAAGAGGTCCCCATTTCAGCAGCTGATTAAAATATACGGAGGGACATTTGCGGAATGCAATGTCTTGTTGTCTCCTTCTTGCTCATCTCTCTCCTTCTCTCTCCGACCCACTTTTCTCCCCATCCCACCCTCTCCGCTGCAGTGCCGCTCCTGCCCACGGTGTCAGGGCTGGAGTTGGACGTGCGCATCATGGAGAAGTTTGGCGTCACGTTCGGCCGGGAGGGAGAGACGCTGTCCCTGTGCTGCACCGTCGTGGTCGTGCCAAACTTGCACAAGGCTCGCGTGGAAATTCAGTGGTTCCGTGATGGTAGGGGTCTCTCGTTAATTATAATGAAAGTGCATTACACACGCACACACGTGGAAGGGCCCGTGTGACTCAGGTGGCGAGTTCTGTGTTAGAGCAATGAACTGGCACCCTTGAAATGCTAGGTTAGAATTAAAGTATAACAAGAAGAAAGGCCAAATTGAATATATATATAAAACGTCTAAAGTCAACTACGTCAGAAGAAGTTTTACAAAAGCGGGGACTACGTTGTGGAACAACGTGACAAGGGGGGAGATCAGGGCGAGGAAACATCGGAGAGGGAAGAGGCAGCAGCACCACGGGCACAGCCCGGGATGAAGCAACCTGGGCCGAGCAACAACAACAACAACAACGATCCCGAGGGGCAGCCGGGGCAGCACAAACGATTCCCAGGGTCAGCCTAAGGAGGGAGTGGCAGGGGCACAAGGCCCCACACCAATGAGTACTAAGGTCTAAACCTGGTTACCATTGACTGTATAAAAAAAAAAAGCACCCGTAGTCATTTTATTGTTTACTAGTTGAATGTATTGTGGTTCCAGTAATTATATGTTGCAGTTTTATTCACACGGGAAAAAGACAGATGGTCTCCACTTTACCACTGTCCGATTTATGATGGTTCACATTTGCGACGTTTATATAATTCAACCAAGGATCCATTTACGATGCAAATGTTTTATTTACGACGCATCTTCATACATGACTCTGAACACATTTGAACAGTCACTCTGGTTTCCGATGTGATTTGGCGTGTAGCTTTTGTTATTCTCAAGTGTTTTTCGTGTGGATTTTTACCCATTAATACTTGTTAAATATGTCTGATAAAAGGATAAAAAAACAACATCGGAAAGTGATGTTTTCACTGTTTCTACAGTCAATGGGGAAGTAGGGTTCGATTTCCGACGGGGTTTCGTGGAACACGTTGTGACGTCGTAAAAAGCGGGGACCGCCTGTACTCTTTTTCAAGGTCATGTTAAAAAACTATATATATTTTTTATTTTACTAGGTGAGGCCCACTGAGCTATGAAGATCTTTTTTTTAGAAGTGACCTGGCCACAAGTGATAGCCCAACGAAATTGGCTTGTCACGTGTAAATTCGTAGCAGCCAAATACTCGAAGCGCATGTTTATAAATGGTGGAGGGAAAAACCGAAAGACCCGGATAAAAATCCACGCGACCACGGGGAGAACATGCAAACCCCAAATATACAGGCGTGAGGGTCAGGCTCAGGATCGAACCCACGACCTCCTATATACCAACCGAGGTAGTTAACATATCCCCACCACGTGTAAAAGGTGTCTGTCGCGAGTATGGATGCAGAGGCCTATTGATGTGGCTGCCGCAGAGAGTGCTGTGGACTCAATGATAAGCTGCAAGAGTGTTTTTGTTTCATGACACGACACGGAGAGAACGACCGGATGTGATGGCGAAGAGAGAAAAAAAAGTGACTGTCACTGAGAAAGGAAATCGCCTGGGACAGCGGCTGAGAAGCTCGGTGAAATCCATGCTCGCTCCCCATTGTGACCAATTACATCCAGATAGTTCATTCCATCACGAATGATTTCCATTAATCCCACGAGTTGTGTTTTTTCCCCCCCTTTAAATTATTCATGTTTTTTTTGTTGCCATATCGTACCTCGTTTTGCAGCACTTGCATGAACACGATGTGAAAATAATTTAAATTCAACGCACGCCACGCATTACGCTTGGATGACAAAAAAAAATACTTACAGAATAAACAGATGTCAGATTCGTGCCCAGGCATTTTTTTGGCCACTGTCTTTGTGGCCATGATAACGGTTTGTGTTTGTACAACCGTTGTAATCCTCATACGACGGATATTTGATGGGGAAACAGCCATCGGGCCACGGTATAATGACCCAGCCACCTGCACGCTAAGATACAGGGTGCTTCAAAAAGATGTTAACACTTAAATGGGACTATCGCTTTTAATCGAAGAAGAAAGGATAGCACACTGTAACATGATAACAAATGTAATGTTAATAGCTTCAAAAAGTCAAAGAGTCTCCACTTGTTCGCCATCGTTGTCAACGCACGCCTGGAATCCTCCAGTGGTTAGCGCTCTGCGCTACGGACTCGGTGAACCGAGTTCGATTCCCGCTCACAGCCAAAAGCCAGTGACCATTATCTGAACCGGTCCTGGGCCTCCCCTAGATCGACTCAGCCTCAAATTAGTACCTGTGAGATGTGTAAACATCGCCACTAGGGGAGACAAAGGCGGCTGGGCGTGGTGTTGGCCACCCACCCCCCTCGTGTGCCGTGCCGGCCTTCATAGGTGCTACTCGCGAACAGCACTTGCCCCAACAGTCTGTTTATAGGCGATAAGGGGGATTTTTTATGTTTGCAGTTACTGGTGACTTCACTGAGACCGTGAAGCTGGCTTATTGCCCTAACCCCAGCTCTAATCGGCCACCCATCCTCACTGCACTCTCTGTACACTCGCAATGCCAACCTCGGCCGCAGGAACGAATACATAATTGTAACATTATGCGGAGCAATGTATAACATATGCCACGTAACTCCCCTTGGCGTACAATGATTACTCTTAAATCAAAGTGGTACCTTTAATGACATTTGATACCATTCTAGGCCATTCATTGCTTCAGTATTTTATTTTAATGTATCACAGTTAGACTGTTTAATATCATGTATTACTCTGGCGTGCATTATTAACGCACGATGTCTGCTGATGTTGTACATTTTTTTTTATGGAACTAATGGATTTCTGCCTTTTTGCCAGCAGGGTGTCCCTTGTAAGTGAGATGCAAATCTCAAGGTTTTGTATCCTGGTCATGGAGGGTTTTACCTTTGGGTAGAGCAGCGGTGCAGTGGTTAGCACATTGCTCTACGAGCTCTGCTTTCTAAATTCAATCCCTGGCCAGGGTTAACATCAGCGGTGAGCGAGACCTGAACTGGTCCAGGGACTCCCCTCCTGCCACCCAATGCACGCTAACCAGCGTATTGGCGTATGACTTGGTGTGGAGAGGCCTTCACCCAAGTGTGTATTGACAAAGGGCTGTGAATTGCTGTTGTTGGTGCAATGGTTAGCACAGCGGTTAGCCGGCTCGTTATCCCGACGTGGCAGACGAAGCGGCGGTGCAGCTTTCGCTAATCTCCCCGCCTCTGTCCAGCCAGCAGTATAAATCGGTGCACCAGAGTTAATCGATCGGCAGGTCACGTGTGGTGGGGTAAAGTGTGGGTACTACGGCTTCTTCCAACACGCGTGGCCAGCGAGGAAGAGTAGGCCAAAAAACCCGTGTAGTCGAGGCCCTTCCGCCAGCAGTGGCCTAAGCAGGACATTGCAGGGATGCGCCTTTACCTTTTGAAAGTTATTACTTGCCCCCCCCCCCCCCACCAACCCAACGGCCGTGTGCGCTGTGCTCGCGCAGATGTGCGGCTGGAGGAGTCCAAGTGGGTGCAGCTGTACTGGAGTGGGGAGAAGGCCACGCTGGTGCTGGCCCACCTCAACAAGGAGGACGAGGGGCTCTACACAGTGCGAGTCGTCACCACCGGAGGCGCCGCTCGGCACTCCGCCTACGTCTTCGTGCGCGGTACGCGGTGGCTCAGCGCGCTTTGCTCCCCGACGTCTTCGCCGGGGAGCAAAGCGCATGTTGTTCGGCACGCTGGCCCGACGTTTCATCTCCGCCCGCGCCGGCAGCTTGTTCGTGGATCTGAATTTATCGTGCTGGGCAACACATGTTGCAACCCAATTTGTTTTACTTTCAGAGGTGCATTTTTCTTTCGTGCCAAACTAAGTGAAAAGCCAAATCGCATGTAATGGGTTTTTTTTTGTGTGTGTTCAGTTATTGATCACAATGCTGAGACCATCATCATCTCGCTAGACTTGAGAACTTTGTTTTATCACAGGTGACTGAAACTCGGATTTTAACCCAAGGTTCTTTGTGGTACTGGCTCGATACCCTGACCCCTAAGCCACCCCGCCACATCAACACCAAACCGAGATTAACAAGACCGTCAAAGGCCATGCCATGGGGCACTTCACTATGGGACCCCACCGTGCACACGGGTTTACTGAATAACCTGTCCTGCACACATCTCGGTCTATGGATCTTGTTTTGTTTCGCCTGTCTTTCCTATCTTGTATAAAACACGAATTTGATTGATATGGCGTCTAATAGCAACTACAAAAAATGTTTCAAGAGGCTTGTCAGCTCTTGCTGGCTTGCCCTCACTCGAGCTCAATTTGTTGCTGACCTCTTTGAAGGACTCTCTATTCGATTATGGCCCCTGCTTAGCAAAGGGGTGAAGTTGTAAGAGTGTAATAACACAATTAACTTGGTAACATAATATATTATGCTCCATAGTATCGAGGACAAGGCGACACACTTTTCACCAACGTTGTTCACACCGACACGAGAATATATTTTGCCACAAATTGGACAGGAGAAATGAAGGCGTAAATATCGGCAGAGAGAGGGAAATCAGCCAGCTCATCTTTGCTTACGACTTTTGCCATTATAACAACCAATGTGAACGTCCTCTCTGTACGCCCACTACACGTGATAGGGAATCTTTGTCTACACGTACTCACTCGTGCCTGTAAGGTTTCCCATGTGCCTGTGTGTGCGCACACACACATCCCCTCCCCGCCACCCCACCGGCGGCGTTACAGATGCGGCAGCTGAAATTGCTGGTGCACCTCCTGCTCCGCTTGGCGTGGAGATCCACGACCCGAACCGCAACTACGTCATCGTCTCATGGAAGCCTCCCAGTGGCCAAGGAGGCAGCCCCATCACCGGCTACTTTGTGGAAAGGTCAGTGCTGCAAGCAGACTATTCTTCTCTCTCTCTCTCCAAATTATCCCATCAGGGCCAAGTCATGATGTGTATGTGTCCTCTCGGAGGGAGGTGAACAGGTTGGCCCAGAAGTCAAGAGCACTGAGCCAACACTGCTGAGAGTCTGCGTTCAAACCATGGGTTTCAGCCATTGGTGATAAACGAGAGCTCTTCAAGTGCAGTGAGTTGATGGTCTCAGTCTGGTTGCCAATGATTGCACACCAAAAACCTCACGAAAAATGCACCCTCTCGTGCGTAGATAAAATGTTTGCTTGAAGAGACCTCGGATGTAGTTCCGCCATAGTTGTCTCAGTGGGCCGTTCTCTCACACGGGATGATGCACTGCGCTGCCCGACTCCATCGCATCTTTGACACGTTTCGAATAACATTGGCAAAAAGAATTTTAAAAAATACTCTTGAAATGAATTCAATAAAACTATAAACTATTTTTTTGTATTTTACCAGGTAAGGCCCGCTGAACTATATAGCGCTTTTTCAGAAGCGACCTGGCTGCAAATGATAGCCCAATGAAGTGGCTTATCACGTGGCAATTAAGAGCAGCCCAACACTCTCAAGGCACGTTTCTCAATGTGGAGGGGAAAACCACGGGGAGAGAGACACGCAAACTCCAAATATGCATGTGTCAGGGTGGGGATCGAACCGACGACCTCCGTGTAATGCAGGCGAGGTAGTTAACATCTCGCCGCCATGGCGCCCGTATTGTATTATGAGATTTCTCTAGAGGATGGCACCACAGAACTACTTATTAAGTCACTGCAATAGACCTCTCTTGTGCAACACGAGATGGTGCTCATTCATTTGTTCCCTGCAATCTGTTTAACATCTCAGCGTAGGGGGGATGAGTCCCGTGTCTACGTGGTTAGGGCATTGCATATCGCGACCAGAAGGTCGTGAGGGCAAAGTTAGGTCAGAGGTCAAATTAGCTTTTCATCTATTTGGAGTCAATCAGATATGTACCACTTTGTGCTAAGGCAACAGCCTTTGTCCTATTGACTAGCTTACCTCCGTCTTAGGAATGTGTAAGTTCAACCGCTGACTCAAGGCTATAAATGGGATATAATAGCCGTCCTGAGCATGTTAGAATGGAAAACCACTTTCACTGAATTTTTGGTTCTATTCGGTAAAGTCACGTATAGAATAGAACCAAAGAGTATGGATCCTTGCAGTCACGAAAGCTTCAAATCTAGAATCACTTTCACTGAGTTTTTTTTTTCTAACAAGTAAAGCGCATTGTTGGCTTCTGAGGCATTCGCAAATATTTCTCACATGTGCCTGGAACGGTTTCTGTGCTCGTATTTTCACACATAATATAAATAAAGATACCAAATGTACTGGTTTGGCGGACAACACTCCCTGTTTCACAGGGGCTGTTCCAGTGTCATCCAAGCATTTGCGAAAAATGCTATTTTTGTCCCAAAGTTGAAAATGTTCTTGGCTCAAACTTGACTCACGATGCGGACGGAGGGCTCCCTCCTTGAGCTTTGGGCACAGTTGGCAAAGATGGAAGCCAGAGCCCTGTGAGTACTAGACGGGGCCAATGTCGGAAGAGCACTCGCTGTGGGGCAGAGCTCGTGATCAAGTTGGTGTAGAGTTATGCAAGTGGATGATGGGGCCGATGGAGAGAGAGGGTCTGTCGGCTCACCACGTGTCCAGGTTGAGCCTCCCAGAAATTTGGTCGCTTTAAACATCAGCAAAGCGAAGGAATGGAAGACGTGGGAAGAGAGGCCATTGCCCAGCTGTGGGAAATGACAACAACATCAACAACGGTTTTCAATGAATAATATTGGTCGCGAAAGCCTACATGTTAAACGAACTAATCTCTATGGCGAGGATAGTTTTCCTCTTCACAAATCTGGAAAATCGCCTGATGAAGCTGGTTGTAATCGTCAGCGAAACGTCGTACTCACATTGTAAATGTTGTGGGTTTACGCTCCAATTCACCGGTTGTGCTCAAGTAGTAACGAATTGGCACGTTTTGTTTCTGTTACAAACCCTCATGTTAATTGGCCGTGTCGGGTGGTGGTGGGTTCACGACACATTTATAGTTACGCGATCTAACTCATAAATTACTTATAAAGAATTAAAGCTTTCGTGACTGCATACATTTCTCAACGGTTTTTTTTTACTCAAAGTTTTTTTACGAGTCATAAATTACTCTTTGGTTCTTTCGGTAAAGTCACGTAGAAAGAAAAAAAACAATTATAAAGAAAACATTTTTTTTTCTACGTGACTTTACCGAAAGAACCAAAGAGTAATTCCTGCAGTCACGAAAGCTCCAAATCAAGTTCTAAACTCATAAAACCTTCGCGAACAATAATAACAACAACAAACAACAACAAACAGAGTGCGAATGGAGCTCCTGGCAACTCCTGCGCGGAGAGTGACGCAACGTGACGGCCCTTTGTGCCCGGCAGGCGCGAGGTGAACACGGAAAAGTGGGTGAGCTGCAACGACGCGCCGGTGCTGTACGCGCGCTGGGTGGCGGCCGGTCTCGTCGAGTGCCACTCGTACCAGTTCCGCGTGCGCGCCGTCAACTCGGCCGGCCTGAGTCTCCCGTCGCGGCCCTCGGAGCCCGTCATCGCTCTGCACCCGGACGAGGCCGCCAAGCTCAAGGGTGCCCGTCCCCGTGTCGGCTGCAAGGACACGGCGGATATATTTACACGCGCGCGTATCCCGCGGGTGTGAATGTGTCATGCGAGCGTCGGCGTGTTGTTGATGTTGCTGTTGCTGTTTACGCATTAGGAACCCCTGCTGCCCCATGGACTGGACAAATCTTTGTGACCGAAGAGGAGCCGACCGGTAAGAGGAATGTTCTGAACTGCAACTGTTGTTTTGCTTTCATCATCAGCATCATCATCGTCGTCGTTACTGGCCTCCCGCAATTACTTTTTGCTGAAGTTATCAAATGGCAAACAATACGAACACACAACATTCCTCATTACCACTGCTCTAGCTTAGTTTGTTTACCTTCCCCTGCATTATAATGGGAATGGCTGAAGATTTTATGACAGGCCTGAAGATTTTATTAATTTGTAAAGTACCTGTCAAACTAACGTGGAAAACATGAGAGCGCTATCAGAAAACTTGGTCCACCGAGGCTTCAAAGCACACCGGCCGACTGATTGCATCAGTCTACCACATTCCCAGTAACACGTGGAATAGGTAGCCTTTGCGGCATACCTGAATTCCAACTTTATCAAATCCGGCTTTGATAGGTTATAGTGAATTACACTGCCGTGCATGTGTATTACACCTCTGTTTGTGTATAATACCGCTGCGCACATATATTACACTGCTGTGTCTGTGCATGCACGTGTGCGGGGAGCAGTAGTGTAGTGGTTGGCGCACTGTACTGCAAAACCCAGTGGCCGGAGTTCACTTCGTGCCCACGGTTAAAATTGACAGCGAATGTCTGAACCGTTCCCGGGCCTACCCTAGTTCCGCTCAGCCTCAAATAAGCAGCCGGTTTGGTGCGTGCAACACCAGAACTGGGGAGACAAAGGTGGCTGGACATCAGTGCCGGCCACACACAGCCCCCTCGTCTGCTGCGCTGGCCCTCTTCAGTGCTCGCTAGCAGCACTTGGCCCAACAGTCTATACGAATGCAATGGTTCTTCGTCGGCGTGTTAAACCCGGCGCGTGCCGCCCTGCAGACGCGATGGTGCCGAGCTGCCCGCAGGAGGTGGCGGTCACCGAGATCAGCCGCAGCTACGCGGTGCTCGGCTGGAAAGTGCCGGTCTCCCCCGGCTCCGAGGCCGTCACCTACTATGTGGAGAAGGTACGCCACGGTTCTCGGTTCACGCGATTCGCGGAGTTCGCGGGCTGGTGCTCGGCTCGACACGAGCGAGTACTGTAATTTCGCTATCCATTGTCAAAAATGGCATGACGTTGTCCCACAATAAAACAACACGCCGTGACCAGAATCAGAATCTTTTATTTTTACTTGCAGAATCCGATGAGCTATAAAGGTCTTTACATTTTATTTATTTTTTATTTTACCAGGTAAAGCCCACTGAGCTATTAGTTTATTTTTCAGAAGCAATCTGGTCACTAATGAAAGCTGAACAAAGTGGCTTATCACGTGGACATTTCTCGCAGACAAGTAATTGAGATAACCTAAACTTTCGTATATGTGTGTCCAATCACACTGACCTTACTTAGAAAAGTAATTGTGCACTGGCGTGTAAACGGTCAATTGCTGAAGAAGCCCCCGGCACGTGGAGCGAAACGTTGGGCATCGGGCCGTGCGACACGTGGCACGACCGTAAAACTCACCGGGAGTGCCACCGCGAAAGGCCGACGCGGGAGGATCACCCGAGTCACGACATCGCACCACCCCAGTACGTAGACGCCAATCAGTCGGGCATAGGGCAGCTAACGGCGGACAACGGGCAACTGTCTTGCACATAACAAGACGATGGCTTGTAGCCGACATGAATTGGCATCGTGGTGGGAGGTGTGGACTCGTTTCTCAATGACGACACTTCTAAAGTACTTTTCAAAGGTTTCGCGTGGTCAGATTACGTGCAATTAAAGTGCGGCCAGCCGCCAATCGCGCTGCAGTGGCACGCATGATGAGCACTTGCTGCGTTCCCCACTTACAGAAGCGGTGTCATCTCACAGCGAAGGCAGCTGGTCCACGCCGGCGCAATAGTCATCGTATGGGGCGGTACTCGCTGCTTTCTCCACCCTAAATGATAGCATTTTTTTTTTTACAAATGTATTCAACATTGATAGGAAGCAAACACCGCGTTGGTGTGGAGCATTTATGGCTAAATGCAAATATCAGCAGGACTCCGTTGTGTATGCCCACACACAAATACTGCGTTATTTTCTTGTCCATCGGACTACTGGCTTTCCAGACCGATATTATCCAGCGGCATTTGTTTCAGCAAGCAATCTCTGGACTGGTTTCCACCTTCTGGGTTCTCATCATCAGGGCCTGGCTTGTTAAACAAATACTGCTGGGTTGGCAGATACCGTTGGCAAGAAGGACACTCGGTCTGAACGAAAATGGGCCAAGTTGGACGCAACATGAAACAATATGCATTGCTGTGGATCATAATTGGTTAAGAGCATCGATTGGATCACGGATGCCAGGAGGCTGTCGAGTGTGGGCAGGAGTGGCGCTCCCTCAGGACCAGTACCGTCTTTCAACAAGGCCCTAATTTGTACATAGGTCGTCCTGTTCCCCGGCTCACTCACACCTTCCCTCCATGGACTCTGTCACGTTTATTTAGGGCACCCCCCAGCGTGCGTGTATGGTGTGCGCGCGCGAGTTTATTTATGGTTCCTTTGCGTACGTTAGCACAACCTGTGGTTAGGGTAGCAAGAGAGGCAAGGGTGTGTGGTGGAGCAATGGTTAATGTTGATGTTCATTTGGAAACGAGTTGGCAGACAAACCGGTAGACAGCACGAGGTCCTTCGCTAAAGTCTTCCACGCGGCCCACTGTGACATGGGTAGATCGGTTAGGCAGACGAACGGTCCTGGCAATTAGGGCTGAAGTAATCTCATCCCCCTTTCACTTAACCTTCCCTCTGGGAATATCTTTCCATTACACCGGCAATAAACAAAACGCAGCACCGTCTTTATTACTGGCTGTCGCTTCGGTCTCTTTTAATAGCCAGGTATTCAACAATTCCCTGTGGCACCAATTCAATTGTCACTATGTTGGGGTCTAGATTCCATTCAAGAATTCATTCTTTTTTTTAATGTATCTTGCTTATTTTGGTCTCATTTGTACATATTTTGTCCTCTTCATCAGCCTAAACACAACATGAGCCTAAAATGTTATATAATCTTCACAAATCACGGATAATTGAATCTCACATGCACAGTTTGGTGCAGGAATTGTGAGCAGAATAAAACATTTTAATCACCGATTTGACGAATTATTACTTGCCTATTAATAGCACAGCATTTAAAGGCACACATGTGAAATGCTTAGCCTCGATTAGCGCTGTGGTGGAGAATGCCACCGTTAAGAAAAATACAACTGCCTCCAATCACAATTGTGTATTTAACCCAGGTGGTATAACATTAGGAATGTTAATGGGTGCATCCACAGTGCAATTGTCGTCATCAATATCAAATGATGGACCACATAGCACGCCAATGCCTGCTTGGGTCATTTTCCAGCAGCATTCAGATGTTCACCAGGTTGCTCTTGAGGCTGTCCAATCAGCTTACCAACCTCAACATGAACATACAAACGCGGGTGAAGGACTTCCCGCCATACGAAAGAAGAATCGGTGCGCACTAATCAAGTATGGGAGAGAAGCGATGAACAAGATTGGGGTGAGGAAAAGGGTTACAGCTGCTGAGTGGCTCCTGAATTAATTTTGTCAGAGCAGCAGTATTTCACACTTACAATTTTTTTCATATAGTCTAAACGAATAAAAATTATGCCCCGAGGACACTACGAAGAGACGGTTTCAAATTGCTACTCGTCTGTCTTCACGATGAGTTGAATTATGAAAACACGAGAACTCGACAGGCGAAGTCACTGTGGATTCTAGGCCGGCGTTCACGCAGGTCTGTGCCGACGGTGCCGTGTGTGCAGTCGACGGACGGAGGGGAGTCGTGGGAGCGGCTCAATGGAGGCGTCGCGGTCAAGTCGACGCACTTTGCGGCACTCGGGCTGGTGGAGGGGAAGAGCTACCAGTTCCGCGTGCTGGCCTGCAACTCCACCGGCCTGAGCGAGCCCTCCGAGGAGACGCTGCCCGTCACGGCCCACGACAAACTGAGTATGGATCTTTGGTGTTTAATATGAAAAAAAAAACCACTTCATCATCATCATCATCATCCGACTATCGTGCTCATTCTTCATCGTTCATTATTTATCATTCTGAATCCATTATTCTTATCCACCGTCGTTGTCGTCATTCAACCATCATCCATCATTTTCAACCGGCCATCGTTCTGGACCATTATGATCGACATCAAATATGATCATTGTTAATTCATCCATCATTCCGATTCATCATCATAATTCTCATTCTTATCCATCATCGTCATCATCATCATTAGCCTCTTTCTATTTGACAACACACACTTCATTGTGTAACCTCACCGAGCAAATTTGCACATATATGTTAATGAACCATTGAAAGCCCTTCGATTGCCTGCTCATGCCACTGGCAGAATGGCCTTTATGAGAGGGAGCTTTAGAGAGGCCCTCTGGAGGCTATTTGGCCTGCTCTTCCAAGTTGGCCAAACGTGTTGGAATAGGTGGACACATCTAGGCAAATAGACAGATCTCATAATAAAGGTTTTTGGGTTAGATCGCGTTATTTATAAATGTGTCATAACCCTCCACCACCCGACACGGCCAATCAGCAAAAAAAAAGTGTCACGTTGACAAAAGACAAATAATTCACTACTTCACATTTATAAATAACGCGATCTAACCCAAAAACCTTTATTATGAATAATATTGCTCGCGAAAGCCTACGTGTTAAACAGACAGATCTCAGTCGGTGGACCCGTCGGTCGGAAGTCGCTGCCACTGAAGTGGAGGAGAAAGGGTGACTTCGATCGTGACCCAGAAGCTCCACCTGCTACCTTGGAAGCTGCTCAGCACGGTCGACTTGTTTGGGCGTGACAGCACTTCTTTGAATGTGTAACTATGTATTATTAATAAAAAATAATCACAAGTACGGTACGTGATGGATGACACAGCGTGGTGACGTGTGTGCAGCAAGGGGGCTCGCGATACTCGTGCCCAGGGACGCGACTAATTATTTCAGCGGGGGGATGGGGGGGCTATACACGATGCCACTGTGGGCCCCCCTCCTTTCTCCCGACCCACTTTTACTGAAATATCTAAGGATGGTTTTAACCCCGTATACAATATTACGTTGGCTATAACTATGTATACTGTATGTGTACTCTTTGGTTCTTTCGGTAAAGTCACGTAGGTATAAAAATAAAATAAATTAAATCACGACGTTTCGATCGAAACACAAGCAATCATCATCAGGTGGGAAAACCACAGCAATAATTTGTTTTCCTGAAGTGGGAGAGAGATATTCAAATCATGGACCTCTCTTACCAATATAACCTCTTACCACAGTATCTCTCTCCCACTGCAGAAAAAAAAAATATTGCTGTGGTTTTCCCACCTGATGATGATTGCTTGTGTTGTTGTGTTGCAATCGAAACGTCGTGATTTAATTTATTTTATTTTTATACCTACCTGACTTTACCGAAAGAAACAAATAATATGGATCCCTGCAGTCACGAAAATCTTCAAATCTAGATAATACCGTATGTATTATTTTAGTTGCACAGTGTATCGGGTTCAGAGGAAGACAGTCTCGCAGTGACAGTCTTAATTAAACGATTTAAAGGTACAATACTCACAATTAAGTTTATGTGCGTCTTGCTTTCACTTGCATGTCAGTGAGTACTTTTTCGGAAATAATAATCGTTCATTTGTACCGATGTTTTTTTTTTGGCATTCATGGCCAATTGCTGGAATCAATTTTTTGTTGACAAATTTTTATTCAAAATTTAGTTTTGTTTCTACTTGTTTATCTGTTCATTCGAAGGGCCCTCCTTGTGGCCGGCTGGACCCCCCCCCCCCTGCCCCCCTCCCCCATAGTTGGCGCTCACCAATCGCGCCTCTTTGTCGTTCTCCCCCAAGTTCCGCCCTCGGCCCCGGAGAGCGTGACCCCTGAGAAGGACTCAGCCACCTCGGTGCTGCTGAACTGGAAGGAGGTGGCCGACACCCAGGGGCTGCTGGGATACTACACGGAGTCTCGCGCCTGCGACTCCAAGGAGTGGCAAATCAGCAACAACAACCCTGTCAAGCGCAACAAGTGAGTGCGATCCGTCCGGTGGGGGGGGGGGGGGGGGACCAAAACGGCCTGGCGACATGGCACCACCACACCCTGCTCGTCGTTGTTGTTGTCGTTGTTGTTGTTGTCGTCGTTGTTGTTGTTGCTCTTTGCGTCCTCACAGGGCACCCTGATCCCCGGAGGAGATAAATGATTGGCCGTTAAGGATGCGGAGGCTTGCTCGCCGTTCCACGGTTCCATTCATGTTTCATCGTCCAGGGATATGTCCCTCATCGTCTCGGGCCCCATCGCCTGCCCTGCCTGTGGCCTGCCCTGGCTGTTGGTTACATCAGGCCATGGCGTTGATCTGGAACTTCACCGACCGTTAACGTGACGCTTTATCGCTCCGTGCACCTGTTTACTTGAGTCTCGACAGCGTTTGTGTTTTGGTGTGAAGCGGTGGCGCAGCGGTCAATGCTCTGAGCTCAGAACCTGGTCACCCCAGTTCGACTCCTGGTTGAGACGAACATCAGTTGAGAGTGACATCTGAACCGTTCCTGGGTCCCCCCCCCCCTCCCTTTACCAACATGCACTGCTCAGCATGGTGAAGTATGGTCAAACAACCTCCATATAGCATCGGGAGGCCATCACCCAGTCGTGGATTGACAAAGGACTGTATACAATGCACCTCATTAAATCTCCTGTGTTAAATATAGAAGCTCAACTCTGAGATTTTGTGCAAAGCTGAGAACAGTCCGTGCTGTGAGCACTTGGACTTGACAAAAAGGAAAAATAAACGTGAACGCTCCACACCTATTTCCATGTGTGCTGGCCCACGAAACGGGCTTATTCTAAAAGCAGCTCATGCCCCCAGGGTTTCATAATGAGTCCGTTGGCAACGCTGCCCACTGTAGTGGAATGGTTGGCACACAGGACCTGCAATCCGGTGGTTGCCGCTTCAATCTCCCAGCGCAGCGGTTGAAACGATGGACACGTTTTTTAAATCCACCCACCCCACCACCACCACCTCTGTCCACCCAGCGTTATGAACGGTTGCACCGCAGTTCGTCGATCGGCAGGTTTGCGTGTGGTAGGGTAAAGTGTGAGTACTGCCAACTTCTTCCTAGATGTCCGGCCAACGTGGGAAAGTAGATCACACAGTCACCCTCTCTAGAGGGGCTCTCTAGAGCGTCCTCTAATGGAGACCCTTCAGCAGTAGTGCGAGCAGGCAATTACAGGGCTGCGCCTTTAGAAACATGCGTTTAGATTATTTAGACGATTTTGCTGCTATAAATTTCCACTTGATAAGTCACTTTGTTGAGCTATCATTTGTGGCCAGGTTGCTTCTGACAAAGAAGCCAATATCTCAGTGAGCTTTACCTGGTAAGATACAAATAGTTTAGTTTCATTTCTAGATTTTTTTTGGAACGTTATTTGTTTACTTTTCCTATACTTTGCACTCCGATCGTGTTTTTGTATTGTTTTGTTGTAACGTTCTGACCTGCCCCAACTGGACATCAATTGTTAAAGAAATATTCTGATTCTGATTAACTTTCACCAACGGGTGAATTGTGGCCATAAACCGCTACCTCGAACGCGTCGCGATTAATTTGGGCGGCGATGCGCGCTTTTGACCCGGCAGCTTTGTGGTGCACGGGCTGAAGACGGGCGGCGAGTACGTGTTCCGCGTCCGGGGTGTCAACGCCGCCGGTTTCAGCAGCTTCTCCAAGGAGTCGGCACCCTTCAAGGTGGAGGCACCTGTGGGTGAGTCCTGCGCGCAAAGGCGCAGCCAGTGCCTCCGCCAATGAACGAGACGGTCTCTCTCGGAGACAGAACCTTGCCTCGAATGATTTCGTTAACCGCACGTAATTATTGTAGTCCTCACGCGTGTGTAATGGCGGGATGGCGCAGTTTGGATTGGCAGATTTTGTGCCGGAAAGGCGACTGCGTGTTCGCCAAGAAAAAAATAAATGTGTTGACTTTGAGGCTACAGCTACCAAAATGTCCTGGTTTGGCCAGGACGGTCCGCTGGTGGTTTCAGACAGTTTCCCCCATCCCTCCCCCCCCCCCACCCCCCCGGCGTCTCGAAACATTGGGGCTTATTGCAATTTAGTAACCACCGTTGAAAATTGTTCTGGCCTCACGATCCACGCGTGACATGAGCGGGGCTACCTGAGCAGTGGGCGCAGTTGGCACGGGAGAGCCTGTGAGCAACAGTTGAGAGTGAGCGGACTTCGGTTATGTCACATTAATTGTGGATGAAGTAGCGATGGGGACGGCCAGCTCAACCACGTGTTCTGGCCGAACCTCCTAGAAATAGGGTAGTTTGTGTGTCCTGCGTGAGCCTCAAGTCAGATCAACCTGAAACTATATGTAAAGTGTAGACCTTGGTTGAGCTTCTAAAGTCGTGACAATCCCATTCTCCCGTAATGGGATTTTTTTTGTACAAATATAGTTTAGTTTTCTATCCACTGTGGATTATGTACCGTCATGACATGATAGCTGTGTGTGAGTGTTTTGTTGTCTGGTAATTGCACAAGAGAACTGTTCACTGCGCCAATGTGTTCATATATTTCCCTGTGCGCAAAATTGTTTACATATAAAAAGAGGCAAAACTTTTGAGTGCACGTTAACAACATAAAACATACATTGTATTCCTTCTAGTGTTGAGAAAGCTCAATATCGCACATGATGGAGGCAGTTCGGACCAAAGACATATTATTTGGCAGAAGACTAAAAAAATTGTAATGTTATAAAAACATCATATTTAAAGCCGCTCTCATTTGTACATATCTACATGCCATCATGACTGTGCGTAGTGTAAAGTCACCAGTCAACAGACCCCACCGAGTTGTGGGGCCGAGATGAAGTCAGCTGAGCTCCCGCAGTGTCCTGGATGATGGCACAATGTGTCCGATGTGTCAAGGAACGGTAATTGAATGATGAATAACTTTGCATTCAGCCAACAATAACCGTATTGGACACAGATGGTACGAGCTTTCTGGAAAACTCAAGCTGGCTCCTCTCGTCGCACACGTGGGCTAAAGATTGCACTTTGAGGTTACACAAACGTTGTTAACTTTTTTTTTTGCTTAAACGTTTAACTTTTGACTTTGAAGATCCCGAGATGATAATGTTTCCTGACGGTTTCTATGTTGGTTGACTTTTGGTGGTGGCGTTTGTTTTGTATGTGGATTCCTGTTCACAAAATGTGCAATTCTAATCTATCGTGAGGTAATGTCCGTGAGTTTAAACTTTTGTTTCTAAAGGAACGTCCTCACTACTCTTCCTGTTGTTTGCCGCTTCTTTTTGTCAGTTTCACAACAACAAGAAATTAACCCGGTGTCTTGTTTTGTTTCAACACGAAGTGTAGGGTGTTGAAAAAACAAATCGGTACAGTCGCACCTAATTACTGTTGTTTTGCGAAACTCATGCACGCAGTCTTTACGCACTTTGGAAATTCAACGTGAAATGTCAATTCCGAGAAATGACAAATATACTCGTAAAAGCACAGGAGAAATAATGCACTGCCCAAGATCACACCTTTCCTGGTCTCAACAAATACTGGCAAAGGAGGAGGTCCCATGATGTAGCTGCTCAACCGCGAGTTCTCAATGCCCTGATAGTGGCATTGTCTTTGTGCTGTTCGCCTTTTGGCGTCCTCTGGTCTGACACCGTTTGAGACGAGGCTCTCAAGAAAGCCGTCTCTGGTGTGGACTAATCAGTTTCAAAGACAATGCACATACTGTCAGAGCATGTTTTTTTTTGTTTGCATGTTCACCACAAGTATTGTGGTTAATGCAGACATGATTTCTTGCAGAGGTTTCAGTTTGGTGTTTTAACATCTGAACACCTGTTTTATTGCCATAAAGGGGAAAACCCTATTATCTTAAACGAATATATTGAGAAGGAACAATATTTGTTCCCACCAGAACTTCCCCACCCCTACTTATTTGAACCCCCCAGACCAACAACATTTTTTGTTCCAATCAGCGAAATAGTTTTGTTGCATTACAGCTAGGGTTAGGGCTTGTTAATTACGTTTAGTTTGGGTCGAGATAAATTCTCCCTTAGAAAGGCAAACAAATTGGTGAGTATAAAATACTGAAACGAACCAAACACATTTGGAAAGTGTCCTTAAAGTTACGGTTTTAGTTGCCAATGGGCGGAAATGAGGTCGCACGCAAAATAACTTTTTCGTGAAGAGACAAAACCAAAGACGGCACAGATGTTCGGAAGGGTGACCAACGTTCGTGAATATCGGTTTGCGAAGGTGGAGGACATTTAGTACTCGGCAGAACGGAATACACGTGTGAGAGTTAGGGTGGTGGTGGGGAGGGAGGTGTGGCGGGCACACACAGATTCACTCACCACTCACACCGGCACCATCGCAACCCCTCACTGTCCCCATCGCTCACGGCACGGGTGGTCGGACCCCGTGGTGAAACACGAGAGCACCGCACGGCAACCCCCCCCCCCCCCCCCCCCCCCACCTCTCTACCCCCGACTCCCGCCGCCTGAAGCCGCTCGTGCGTGGTCGGTCAGTCGGCGGAGAACGTGAACTAAAATGCTTCGCCCTTTGCCACCAATAACAATGATTAAGTATTAACAATGTCAATATTGACCGTTGAAGTATCGATCACGTCAATATTGACCGATGAAAACTGGAGCACGCTCAAATGTAGAAGATACAAATTATGCAGAAATGAAATGGTTGATTACAAGGTCGTTTAACTTGACAGGTATTTGCCGGTACTAAATGGTGGCGATCGGTTGCAGGGAAATCCCTGTACCCTCCCTCCCAGCGTATTGTAAATGTGTTCCATGTGTTTTTAATGTGATAAGATTGATGCGGTATAAGCTGCCAGTTTCATCAGGCTCGGATAGAATGTGGTGACGTGAACAGTAATGGTGTTTGTTGATTTAATGCGGGGATGGTTTCACTATACCTAACCACGCTGGTCAGTGCAGAGCGGTATAGAATGGACCCAGGGCCAATTCAGGAATCATCCACCGCTGATGAAAACCTAAGCACATAATTGAACTCTGGTCGTCACTGTGTGCATAGCGCAGTGTGCTTACCCACTGCACCGTAAGCTCTCAATGTGTAACTCCCCATATTCATAGTTGCGATTTGTGCAACTCATTTCATATGCTTTTTTTGCTGCTTTTATCACCGTGTGTGTGTGTGTGTGTGGCAAGCGACGTAACTGAGATCCAAATATATAATTGTGTTGCCAAGACTTGCCCACGAGTGGGCATCAGCCGCCGACCCCTGAGCCGGCTTCACGAGTGAGTTTGCATGAGGCTGCTAAATCTGCTCCTGCCGCCGGGAAGAGCGTTGGTCAACCTGCGGCTGCGAGTGTCCGCGCCGGCTCCCCGCACCGTAAGTGGCAGCGCCGTCCTCCGCAACAACAACAAAAAAAAAAGCTTCGGCTGCTCGCATTCCATCGCGTCGCTTTTCCAACGCTTCGTTGTCAAACAGTGCACGGTTTCTGACTCCGGAGAATAATACAGATCGGGCGGCGTCAAGCACGGAGCCCTTCCAATGCAGGCGTGACGAGGGATCGAAATACGGAGGGAGGTGCGCCCGTAAACGATATGGCTTTGCCACGTCGGTTTTTCGCGGCCGCGCTTTAGAGCCCTCTGCGGTGTTCTCCGGGCCGTTGCAACTTGTTGCACCTCCGATTGGCACAGTTGGCTACGCGCGGTGCGAAAGAAGGTCAACATACACACACACGCACACACACACGTGGTGTCCTGAAGACGCTGCCGGCACGTCGGGCAAATTGTCCGAAATCATTCCGGACAACTCGACAATTCGCATCAGAGACAGCTATACATGACATTGAGCTAAGTTACATGGCGGTATTGCATGTCCTGTATGTTTACCATTGCGAAGATGGAAATGATCAATAGAGTACAGAAATATAGTGTCAACCACATTCATCACGATCTAATTTTAAAAGCAATAGCGGTATTTTTGTGATGCGCGTACAAGCGCACAACACACACACACGCAAGGATGTGGACGGGAGGGCACCACCGTGAATTTGCACAACACACACACACGCAAGGATGTGGACGGGAGGACACCACCGTGAATTTGTATCCATGTTTTTTCCGCCGATGTTTTGAGGCCATTAACGTTCAGATGGGCCAGGGGACAATGATTTGTGTCTCTCTATGGATTCGTGATCCCACCCGGATGCCTTCGCCTCCTCCAAAGGCACTCGAGCAATTGACCTATTCCACCTTATCTTTGTGCCATCGCATTCTAAGGACGTGTGAGAAATTACAGACTTTGTGTGACTTGCAAACACGACCTTACTATTACATTAGAATGCCTGTGTTAGAAGAATTTTACCTTATGGCGGTACCCCGGGGTCACATAGTACCCCGGCTCTCGCATAATGTCCGTGATGCAGTCGTTTTTAGACTGTTGATGGTCGGCGATGCGGCAATCGACTCATCTCGACGAGCTGTACTCACGATGTACCACCATGGTGCGTACCGCGAGCGTTCAGGGTTTCAGCACAATCGGCCTCGCTGCGTTTCGACATCGCGGAGTGTGGCACTGATTTCGGATTGATTGGTACCCCAGTCGCGGAGTTCAGTACACCCCTGGAAGAAAAACAGTGTCCCAGAAATAAAATATGTCATTGCCTCGGCTGATTTTGTATTATTTGGTACCCCGTGGTACCGCCATGAGGATCAAATTACAAAGAAAACCACGTACAATAATATTTGATAATAAATGTATTATCTGTCAATCCACTGTTAGGTGAAGGCCCCCCCAAGCTTTTATTGTGGAGTTGAGAACCGTCCTGCCTCACAGAATCACATGCCAGCTTACAGCTGTAGAACTGATTTTGTGTTTGGTTTATTGTCCTTACCCCGCACCTCTGATTGCACAGTTGGCGAGGTATGGTGCGAAAGCAGTTCAACATCAATACATAGCAATGCGGAGTGGTGGAATTTCCAACACTGGCCTAGGTCAAAAACTGAATAAGATTGCCCATGAATGTGTAGGCGTTCGCGACCAATATTATCCATAATAGAGGTTTTTGTGGGTTAGGTGGCATAAGTGATCGCGTAAATATCGATATACTGTATGTATATTTTCACACGTAAATATTTGCGCGATCTAACTAGCCGTCCATCGTTTTTGACAATGGATGGGCTCGTGCGTGTCGCGAGAAGCCCTCACTCGGCTCCCTCGTGTCATCGTTCTCCCGCGCTTGTTATAACCCGCGCGGCCACCCCTTGATCCTCCAGCCACCGCTCCGCCGCCGAGCAAGATCTCGCTGCTGAACTGCTCCGGCGTCGGCATGGTGCTGCACTGGCAACCGCCCGCCCCTGGCAAGGCGCCGCTCGCCACGGGCTACCGCGTGGAGGCGCGTGCCGTGCCCGAGGGAGGGAGTGATTCCCCGGGCGAATGGCACGATGCCAAGGCGAGACGGATCGAGGACACGGTGTATGAGGCAAGCGCACGCCTCATCCTCATCTTCCTCTTCCTCATCTTCCTCTTTCTTTGCGGTCTACACGTCGCCAGGCGCCGCGATGGCGGCATGTTGACTACCTCGCCTGGTATACCGGGGGTCGTGGTTTCGATCTCGACCATGACGCCTGTATATTTGGAGTGTGTGTGTTCTCTGTCGTTGTGGTCATAATGGTTATTTCTCCCGGTCCTCCGGTTTTTTCTCTCCTTATTTAAAATCATTCGTTCAGAGTGTTTGGCTGTTATAAATTTCACATGACAATCCATTTAGTTGAGCTATCATTTAGTGGCGAGCTTTTGAAAACGAGCTATATAGCTCAGTGAGCCTTTCCTGGTGAAATAAAAAGATTATTTTTTGTTTAGTTTGCAGAATTTTCATGTCTAATGGAAACAACATTGTTTGGCCAGCATGTCCTTTATGTTAAATCGATTTATTACGATATCACACCTTGACAATTCCTTGCGATGGAAGATCTCGTTTGTAAGGGTATCCAGTATCATCTCATTGATAATTGGTAAAATCTTATAATATCAGGAAGTACTCACCAGTATCTGCCATTGCAGTCAACCTCTGCTGATATTCATCACTGATACAGTGAGGGATAAAAGTATTTGATCCTCTGCTGATTTTGTACGTTTGCCCACTGACAAAGAAATGATCAGTCTATAATTTTAATAGTAGGTTTATTTGAATAGTGAGAGAGAATAACAACAACAAAATCCAGAAAAACGCATGCCAAAAATGTTATAAATTGATTTGCATTTTAATTAAATCTTTCTGGCTCCCAGGTGTTTTTTTATACAGGTAACGAGCTGAGATTAGAAGCACACTCTTAAAGGGAGTGCTCCTAATCTCAGCTTGTTACCTGTATAAAAGACACCTGTCCACAAAAGCAATCAATCAATCAGATTCCAAACTCTCCACCATGGCCAAGACCAAAGAGCTCTCCAAGGATGTCAGGGACAAGATTGTAGACCTACACAAGGCTGGAATGGGCTACAAGACCATTGCCAAGCATCTTGGTGAGAAGGTGACAACAGTTGGTGCGATTATTCGCAAATGGAAGAAACACAAAAGAACTGTCAATCTCCCTCGGTCTGGGGCTCCATGCAAGATCTCCCCTCGTGGAGTTGCAATGATCATTAGAACGGTGAGGAATCAGCCCTGAACTACACGGTAGGATCTTGTCAATGATCTCAAGGCAGCTGGGATCATAGTCACCAAGAAAACAATTGTTAACACACTACGCCGTAAAGGACTGAAATCCTGCAGCGCCCGCAAGGTCCCCATGCTCAAGAAAGCACATATACATGCCCGTCTGAAGTTTGCCAATAAACATCTGAATGATTTAGAGGACAACTGGGTGAAAGTGTTGTGGTCAGATGAGACCAAAATGGAGCTCTTTGGCATCAACTCAACTCGCCGTGTTTGGAGGAGTAGGAATGCTGCCTATGACCCCAAGAACACCATCCCCACTGTCAAACATGGAGGTGGAAACATTATGCTTTGGGGGTGTTTTTCTGCTAAGGGGACAGGACAACTTCACCGCATCAAAGGGACGATGGACGGGGCCATGTACCGTCATATCTTGGGTGAGAACCTCCTTTCCTCAGCCAGGGCATTAAAAATGGGTCGTGGATGGGTATTCCACCATGACAATGACCCAAAACACATGGCCAAGGCAACAAAGGAGTGGCCCAAGAAGAAGCACATTAAGGTCCTGGAGTGGCCTAGCCAGTCTCCAGACCTTAATCCCATAGAAAATCTGTGGAGGGAGCTGAAGGTTCGAGTTGCCAAACGTAAGCCTCGAAACCTTAATGACTTGGAGAAGATCTGCAAAGAGGAGTGGGACAAAATCCCTCCTGAGATGTGTGCAAACCTGGTTTTGCAGAGGGGTCAAATACTTATCTCCCTCATTAAAATGCAAATCAGTTATAACATTTTTGACATGCGTTTTTCTCGATTTTTTTGTTGTTATTCTGTCTCTCACTGTTCAAATAAATCTACCATTAAAATTATAGACTGATCATTTCTTTGTCAGTAGGCAAACGTACAAAATCAGCAGGGGATCAAATACTTTTTTCCCTCACTGTAGCTCCTGCCAGAATTCACTGCTGAAATGGATACATTGGAATGTGGAGTGCATGCCACAGGCTTAGGACTGTAAGGAGCGGATGAATATTGAACCATTCCGCCTGTTTGAGCGAGATTCAGAAGTTGTTGAATTAAAATTAATAACAATGATTGCCTTTATTTATCCAACAAAGCATGAGGGTGTTCGGCGAATTGCACTTGATGAGGTTTGGCGAGTCGGAGGGAAACCAATGTGTACCTGGAGACAACGCGTCACACATACACACGAGGGGTAACACTTCCCTGTACGTGTAGGTTCAATAATCCATTGCATTTTGACACACACAGACACGTTTTCAGATTGAAATCCTTCCTAAAGTCATCCCCTCAGCTGTTCCTATCATCACCCTTCCTTGCCATCCCTTCCACTCCGCTCCCCAGCACTCAAATCCCATCACTTTTCCCCATCAGCCAATGCTAATGTACAAATTATAATTCTCGGAAAGCGCTTTCATAAAAGCGCTTTGATAAAAGCGTTACTCTTTGGTTCTTTCGGTGAAGTCACGTGGGTAGAAAAATGATAGATCACGACGTTTCGATCGCAACACAATCAGTCGTCATCAGTAGGCCTACTTCAGCTGTGGTTGTCCCACCTGATGAAGGTCGCTTGTGTTGCGATCGAAACGTCGTGATCTACTGTTTTTCTACCTACCACGTGACTTTACCGAACGAACCAAAGAGTATGGATTCCTGCAGCCACGAAAGCTTCAAATCTAGATTGATAAAAGCGCTTTGATAAAAGCGCTATATAACATCCTAGATAATATTTAAAAAAAAATCCAAAGGATTGCATGGTGGGCAGCAGTACAATGCAGCTAAATCCATTGCTGTATTGTACTTTTTTTCCATTTAAAAAAATTGGTTTAGATCACGTAAATATAAATGTGGCGTTAAACCCGCCACCATCCGACACAGCCGATTCGTCAGGTTTGTCCCGTAAACAAAACGTGCCAATTAGTCACTACAGCATACCGGTGTGTTGGAGAGTAAAACCCACAACATTTACAATTCGAGGACTGTGACTTTTCGCTGGTGATTACAACAGGCAGCTTCATCAGGCGATTTGCCAGAATTGTGAAGAAGTCCTTCTGTTTCGGACTTAAATCGAGGGAGTCAAGGTGATGTCATCACTGTGGGTCTATCAGGTGCCAAGACCAGAGGGGGGTTAATGTTGGCCCCGCTGCCCATCATGGGTTGCCACCTCTCCAGGTTGACCTGGACAGCCCTGGTGCTGGCATCTGTCTTCGGGCGCCAGGAATTGATTTGTGCCGAGATCTGGCACCGGCGTTGTGTTGAACTTTATTACAGTCGCACTGCACAGCTCGATAGACCTACGCCAGGGGTTGGGCAACCAAAATAACAAGAAGAGCCATTTTTTTAGACTTCGGTAATACAAAAAAAAACAGTCGATATTTCAAGAGCTGCAATGCGTGTGACTAGGAGACGGTGCTCCGTAATAAATAACGTCGCGAAGCAGTCGTTAAAGAGCTGCATCTGGCTCCAGAGCCACAAGTTGCTGACCCCTGACCTAGGCTGACTGAGAAATATGCCCGGGTTTTGATTTATAGCCGAATAGGGGGTAACCCTATCCCCACCTTCACCAACCCGCACCGGCCGGCACGGTGAAGCACGATGATCGAGTAACTCCCGTGATCCCCGCGCTCTCGTTGGGAGGCCCTCATCCAGCAGTGGATTGACAAAGGGCTGTTCCCAGGAGCAAGAAATCCTCACCGTAGCGGTCAAACAGTGAAACTGTTACTGCGCAAAGGCGGAACGTGCGTGGCGGCGCAGACCCAGAGCTCGCTGACACCACACTGCTCGCGTTTCCCCACCGCGCGCAGGTTCAGGGCCTGGCGGAGCACAGCAGCTACCAGTTCCGCGTGAGTGCGGAGAACCCGGGGGGGTTGGGCTGCCCGTCGGAGCCCAGCCAGACCTTCCCGTGCGAGAAGTGGACCTTCCCCGAGCCCGGTAAGGGCACATTTACGGGACTTTTTTGATCGTGGCAAAAAAGGGGGCCGTAAATATTCCACATGTTGCATCAGCTCGACGTCGACTAAAGTGAGAAGACTGCTGACTATAGTAACACTCCATAATACACCATGTGTCGGTAAACCCGCCACCACCCGACACAGCCAATTAGTAAGGTTTGTCACGTAAACAGAACGTGGCCAATTCGTTACTACTTCAGCACACCTTTGTGTCATAGAGTAAACCCACAATATTTACAACAGACCAGTGTGCCGAAGTACTAACTAATTGGCACGTTTTGTTTACGTAACAAACCTTACTTACTGGCTGCACCGGGCGATGGTGGGTTTAACGACACATATTTACACGATCTAACCTCTACCCCCCCCAAAAAAGCCAACCCTTTATTATGGATAACATTGGTCGCGAAAGCCTTCCACCTTCGTGCTAAACTAAAGTAACGCCTTACTCTTTGGTTCTATTCGGTAAAGTCACGTAGGTAAAAAATAAAACAACAAAAATCACGACGTTTCGGCCACAACACAAGCGGCCTTCATCAGGTGAAGGGACCAGGCTGTCCCGAGGACAGCGCTGGAGTGACAGCCTGGTCCCTTCACCTGATGAAGGCCGCTTGTGTTGTGGCCGAAACGTCGTGATTTTTCTTGTTTTATTTTTTACCTACGTGACTTTATCGAATAGAACCAAAGAGTATGGATCCTTGCAGTCACGAAAGCTTCAAATCTAGGATTAAAGTAACGTCGCTGGCGGCCTCGCTCCCCGGGGTGCTGCAGGTCCTCCGTTTGGCCTGGCCTTCTCGGACATAAAGGACGGCGCGATGGTGGTGTCGTGGAAGCCTCCGCTGTACGCCGGGACCTCGGCCGTGTCCCTCTACCACGTGGAGCTCACGGAGGCCGACGCCGTCAGCTGGAGACGCTCGGACGAGAAGCCCTCCGCCAGCACGCACGTCAAGGCGAGGCCACGCGAGAGGAGGGCTCTTAAGCAATTTAAAACGGCGGAGGAACACGTGGACCTGCGCGTGTTTGCGTTTCTGTGCACGTGTGTGTTTACTTGTCGAGCGGGGGTGTAGCGGTGAGTTCGATTCCCGCTCACGCCCAACACCAGCGAGGAATATCTGAACCGGTCCTGGACCTCCCCTAGGTCGACTCAGGTGCAAATAAGTACCCGGTGCAGTGTGTAAACATCGCCACTGGGGAGACAAAGGCGGTCGGGAATGGTGCTGACCATCCATGACCGAGTATACCGTGCCGGACTTCATAGGTGCTCGCTAACAGCACTTGCCCCAGCAGTCTGTTAAGGATATACGGGGAATCTTTTATCTTTGTTATTTTGTGTTTGCGTGTGTATTTTGGAATCGTGGGTAACACACTGCATGAGGAACCCAGTGGACCGAGCTTGATTCCCAGCATCTGCTTACATCAGTGGTGATTATCTGACCCATTCCTTGGCCTGCCCTAGGTAAACTCGGCCATAAATGAGTACCTGTTGTAGCGTGTGAACATCAGCACAAAGGTACCTGGGTGTGGTGCTGGCGACACCACCCCCATTCGTGTGCCATGCAGGTTGTGATATTTTCTTTGGTTCTTTCGGTAAAGTCACGTAGATAGAAAAATAAAATAAAACCACGACGTTTCGATCGCAACACAAGCGGTCGTCATCAGGAAAAAGTTGCAATATGCGCCGATGAACGGCACTTGCCCAGGAGGCTTCTGAAAAATCAACTATTAGCTCGGTGGGCTTTACCTGCAAAGGAAAAAAAAGTTGAGTTTCATTTGTACATATTTTTACGTGGTTTGCTTACATTTCCTATTCTTTGCACTCCTATCGTGTTTTTGTATTGTTTGTTGTTGTAACGTTCTGACCCGCCCCGTACTGGACATCTGTGAAAAAGAGCTTTATAGCTCATCGAATTCCTACTGCAGTGTAAATAAATGTGCTGATACTGGTAGGAACGAAGTTGTAAACTGAGTGTACCAGCCTGCAATAGATTAATGTGTCCGTCCGTCCGTCCCCTTTCAATACTTTAACGAAGTGAAATCTCGTGCTGTTGGGTGTAAAATCAGCAATAGACAGCGCAGAGACTTGTCCTACCAGCCCACCCTGCAGGGACCTGTTTATGATTCCACATGGGTGCCTGTGTGTGATTTTGTGTGTGCAGGTGGGAGGCCTCAAGGACGGACAACCGTACCTCTTCCGTGTGTTTGCGGAGAACGCGGGAGGCCGTGGGAAGATGTCGGAAGAGTATGGGCCCGTGGTGGCTCGTGGCTTGGCAGGTATAGCCCACGTTGGCTCACGATCGCTGCACACCTACACCTGTGGCATGCCCAGCCTGCGTTTTCACACCACTCGAAATGTCATCGGGCTTATATTTTTTTGCTTTCGCACAATGGTGGTGGCGTGGTTATCGCACCGCGCTACAGCAGACTCAGTCACCTAAGCTCGACTCTCACCTAAGGCTAATGTCGGTGGCGCATTATATCTAAACCACCGGTCCCTCCTCTGGTCAATCAACCGCCATTGGGGACCCAGCATGAGGAGATATTCATCCAGCAGTGGATTAACAAAGGCCTGTATACTATTAGACGTGTTATTTCGTCACCTCTTCTGAGTCCCCAAACCGCATGCTGCTGCTTACGAGTGTCTATGTACGTACGTTGAACTTATTTCGTACTGTACGTAGCCAACCGTGCTAATCGTAGGTACGGAAATGTGATTCACGTCTCACGTGACTGGGTGAATTGGCTATTTTATGGGTGCTTTTTCGACGTTATTATTCACCTGCGAGGAGCTGCCGCATGGAGAGATTGTGCTGCCACAAAGGGTCTCCTCCCACTTGTTTACAATTTCGCTCCTCCGATTAGCACGGTTGGCTACGTACGGTGCAAAAGAAGCTCAACATACATACTTACTTCTTGCCAATTCAGTTATTTGTGTTTATTTTCATGACCAGTACGTCCAGAGGCCAGCAAGCCTAAGGAGCAGAAGAGTAAGAAGGGCAAACGTGAGTAATAATACTTTTCTTTACGGCGAGTTTACAGCCCACAAGATGCCTCCTCTATTTTAAAAGCAACACGCGAGAGATCGAGGCGGAGAGCGGTGCCGCAACGGTTTGTGCTCTGTGCTGCGAACCCGACCACCTGGATTCAGTTCCCGAGCCACGGCAAACATCAGTGGCGGGCGATTTCTGAACCAGTCCTCTGCCCTCTCCTTCACTAACCCATACTGACCGGCGTGGTGAAGTATAGTCAAGTTAAACCACATGACCGATCACGGCATGGGGAGGCATTCATCCGGCGGTAGATTGAGAAAGGGGCTGTAAAGCATAAAAAGAAGAGATTGGTATTCAGTCTTCGCAGTAGCGAAACGAGCGGGGGGGGGGGGGGGTTGCCTTGGGCCCCCTGGTGGCCATAGCTACGAGTTGGGGCCCCCTTGACAACCACCATACTACGGAGCTGTAGTGGCTGCATTTTGCAAATACGGAGCGCCCCTACAGCGTTAAATGTTCGAGACCGTGAGCGTAACGATGTGATTAGGCACGAGGAGTCGCGATATATAACAGCCGAGGTGCGACCATGCGAGACACATCAAATATTGGGGCCCCACTTGACCGATTGCCACCACCCCTGAGCTGATAATGTGGTTATGCGCCCTTATCATGCAGCGGTAGCCAGGGCCGAATTAAGATTTGTTTAGGCTCCTGGGCTACAAGTACTTACTGTGAGGCCACCAGTAATATTTTCAAAAGGAAAACAAAGTTAAATAAAAAAAATGTATTTTTACGAGGCTAACAAATAAAATTCAGCTTTCACAAATGGAATAACTTTTCACTTCATCTCTGGAGGCCCTCCAGCTGGTGGAGGCCCCTGGGCTGCCGCCCCTAAAGCCCCCGTGCCTTAAACTGGCCCTGGCGGTAGCATCTGCCCTCTGCGTCTGAGCCACAAACGGTACACTACGGTGGACATATATGACCATAAACTTGCAGGGGTCAGAATCAAGATTCCCTATGCTGTATGGCCATGTAGGGCACACAGTTGGCAGCTCTTTAAAGACATTAATAATCACGCATTGATGTAGCGATCTGTGTTACCATTGAGAACTTGTGCAGCGGTGCGGTGGGTAGCGCACTGCGTCGTTGACCCGGCAACCTGCGTTCGATTTTCAGCCGTGGCAAACATCGCTGGCGAGTGATATCTGAGATTGTCCTGCCCACCTCCCCCCCCTCCTCCTTCACCAGCATGGTGAAGTATGGCCCGACAACCTCTCTGACCTACAGTGCAGGGAGGTGCTCACCAATAGCACTTACCCTAAGATTCTCTCGGGTTAAGTGGAGGATCTCTGTTCTCGTTTCGTCTCCCGGTGGGTGCAGCTACCTCGCTGAAGTCCCCTCTTGCCGTGGAGGTTCAGGACAACGGGACCGTGCGGTTCTCGGCTCAGTTGGAAGACCTGTCCGCGTCCGCCGACGTCAAGTGTATCTTCGACGACAAAGAGATTGAGAAGAACGAGGTGGCTCCACACACTCTGTCCCATCATGGGACCTCTATTGCCAGAGGTTTTACACTTTAGAATCATTCGTTTAGAGTATTTGGCTGCTCTTAATTTCCACATGATAAGCTACTTCGTTGAGCTATCATTTATGGACAGGTCGCTTCTGGAAAAGAGCTACGTAGCTCAGCGGGCCTTACCTCGTAAAATAAAAATAGTTTAAATAAAAAAAAAAATCTCCTTTCCGGATGTTTCACTGGCCGAGCAGAAGTATGACATCAAGGTGGACGTGGCCACGGGGCTGGTGGAGGTCCTCGTGGAGACCATCACTGCCGAGGATGAGGGCTCCTACAGCGTCGTCTTCAAGGAGGACGACGGCAAGGAGAATGCGAGCAACTTACCGCTGCTGGGCGATGGTGAGCTCGTCAGCGTTTGGAGCGATGCAGTCGATCGTGGCTGCCGGGTTCACAGTGTGCTCCATGATGCAGGGATTACCAATAACTGGCTGTATTGGTGTTGCTAAGAATGTACATGTAACAATCCATCCATGGGTGTCAGGGTTAGGAGGGCGATGGTCAGCTTTCCGATATTAGGAAGCCACTGGAGCTATGGACTTTCAATCTAGATTGAAAACTCATTTCTTTAGAACTGATTTTCGTGTTTAGTTTGTTGCCCTTCCCCCACACCTCCGATTCACACAGTTGGCTATGTACAGTGTGAAAGAAGTTCAACACACATACATTCAGCACATCCTCTACGCACTTACCTGTGTCACTCCTGTAAATGAATCTTGATGTCATTGTCCTCATCATCAAAAGTATCAGCGTCTCAACTTAATTGTCAAGAGTTTACAATGATATCATCATAATCATCATCATCAAAACAGCAGCATTCATGATAACTTTCAACATAATTGTTAAGATGAGCCATCGTCTCTGTATGGACCTTTCACTGTGGAAACTTTCTGGAAGTGCTTTCACGTGGTAAGGCAATGGGTGTGCCATTGTTGTGCTGTGTCCATGAAGATTTCAAAAAGCTTCTGGAGCAATCGGAGAAGGCAAAGAGAGACTGGAAGAGGAAGCAAGGTGAGTGTGTGCCGTCTGAGCATTCTGTTTGCAATTCATTGCAATACTCGACACTTAAATTTCGATTTAAAGCTTTCGTGACTGCAGGGATTCATATTCTTGGTTTTTCACACCTGATGATGATTGCTTGTGTTGCAATCGAAACGTCGTGAGAATTTTCTTGCTTTATGTTCATTATTTTATTATTTCCCTTCTACGTGACTTTACCGAAAGAACCAAGAATACTCGACACCTATCTTCTTTGGTTCTTTCGGTAAAGTCACGTAGAATGAGAATAAAATAATAAATTGATAAAATAAAATAACACAATAATATTCTCACGACGTTATTTTATTTTATCAATTTATTATTTTATTCTCATTCTACGTGACTTTACCGAAAGAACCAAAGAAGATGAATCATTGCAGTCACGAAAGCTTTAAATCGATACTCGACACCTAGTTAAGAATGAGCACTGAACAATGGTGTTGTGTATAAAAGCGTCAATAAGCAGATCGGTCTGGTTTCCAGACAAATATTAAACAGCTGCACATGTTTAAGCGAACAAACTCTGGACTCGCTTCCAAACTTCTGGGTCTCATCAGCAGGGTCAGGCCTGTTAAACGAATGCTGCTCTGATACCACGTGTTATTGGCAACTACTGCATATCATATATAAGCAGTGATCCTGAAACCCCAGGCCTCATGAACCTCCATGGTGCGGCTTTCCCATAGTTTACCAATATTCTCCGTTCGTACGCAAATCAAAGTCTCTGCACACTGCATGCACCCGTCACTGGTAATCACAGAGGTCAGCATAAAACTGGAGTTTGAGAAATACTTGGTAAATTTTATCTCCATATATATAAAAGGCAAAGTTGTGAATATGTGTGTCTGTTCAAAATGTTTAGCGTACTTCCTGACATTCAACAAACTTGAAATTTGCCATGTGGGTACTTTCCAGACTCTACACCATGCAAAAATTATAAAAAATACACTTTTATTTTTGTCTAGGGGGGGGGGGGGGAACTCAATAATGCATATTTTTTGCACGGCAAGTGAGCTGTGACGTCAAACCTGTCACGTGACCCGCGCATGTGGAAGCGTAACGCATTGTAGTGTAGCGGTTAGCGCTACGCTGCGAACCCGGCAACCCGAGTTCGATTCCCGCTCACGGCCACCACCGGTGACGATTATTTTAACCGCTCCTGGGCCTCCTCTAGGTCGACACAGCCTAAAATGAGTAACTGCTGTGGTGTGTGAACATAGCCACTGGGGAGACAAAGGCGGCCGGGCGTGGTGGATCCAAGTCCCGGGCGAAGCCGGGTAGTACAGCTAGTGGGGAATAAGGACATCAGAACGGTATAATTTTTGAACAATTGGAACAATTTAAAGACATTGCTTGGTGATGCTGCTGCTGCGTTGACAGTGGTGCCCAAGCACAAGTAACAACAAACTAAAACTCAACGCATTTGTCAGTAACACTGCCTTAAAAGCCTTAAAGGCAGCGCTATTGGTGAATGTGTTAAGTTTTTTTGTTATTAAAACTGTTTAAACAAAAATATGTTTTGTTTTCAAATTTCCGTTACACCTAGCTTCACTGAGTCATCGTGTGGTATTGAAGACGTTTCAATTTTAGCAATGATTGTGATGTTGCATTAATCACATTTATTGTTAAGTTGATCCACAACCAACAACATTGTCTTTGTGTCGTGTGATAGTCGTGAATCTTTTGCATAGAACCATTTAAGTAGAATGTTTCGGATGGGTGTATTTTAAATAAAACGTTACAAGGTTAAGGTAAAAGAACACGCGAAAAATGGCTTACGTCGTTTTATGCAACTGGCCAAAAAAAAAGATCGATGACAATATCATCCTGAATGTGCGCGATCTTATCGGATCTCCAAAGCTAAACAGTGTTGAGCCTGGTTAATACAGTACGTGCAAGGGAGACTGCCTGGGAATAACAAGTCTTGTAGGTTTGGGCTTCGAGGTGGCCAGGAGATTGTAGTTTGGCAATGGATTTTTGAATCTATCTTTGCAGAGCTTTCAGGGTTATCCCCTCGTTTTTTATTGTTTTTTTTTTCTCCCCGGTTTCTTTCCACGTTGAGCCAGACATCCGTTTACAGAATTGGTCAAATTGCCCAAAATGCAGGACTTATCTGCAAAAGAGTGTTGAGCCTCAGTGAGGCCTCCCTGGGTAAATAAGGGCATCATTATTATTATTACTAATAACTCAGCTCTATTGCCCGTCCGTGTATCTGCTGGACCATCTGTGAAAAAGAGCTTGATTGTTTCATCGGATTCCTCCAGTATAAATAAATATTCTGATTCTCATCCAGGGCCTTACGTGGTGGAGCAGGCTCACTGGGAGGTCATGGAGGACTGTAACGTGCGTCTCATCTGCAAGGTGCAATGTTGTGCTCTCTACCAGAGAGTCATGACAAGTCCTACGATGCCTCGGTTCTTTTTTTGTTGCAGTTGTGCTGTATAACTGCCCGATATATTCTCGGTTTCTACCGTGTCTTATTTTTTAAAGAGCTTCATAGCTCGTCAGATTCCTCCAGTATGAATAAATATTTTGATTATGTTGGCTATGGGGTCCCATATTTCGCTCCAAGTGCTGGGAGATCTAATTCCTAAAGAAGCTCACAGCACGTGGAGTGACACGTCGAACATCGTGCCAAACAGCGCGCGGTGCAAGCCTAAATAAAAATACATCAGATAATAATAATAATAATGACGAAAATATTTTCTTGTAATGCACTCCAATATTTTTGCAAAAATCTAGGTGTGCATTATCGAATGACGATAAACAACACAAACAATTATGCAAACAAAAAACAGACGACATTAAGCGACGACACACAAAAACAAAAGCCTCCTGCAGTAAAATGAGACTGTTTCTTGAAAGGAAACTAGTGTGAAAAAACGAGTCTTGGGATTTGTTTTACAGATGCCAACACTCGTAGACTCGCTGATGTTCACAGGCAAGTGCGATCCAAAGCCTTGGTGCAATGCTGGCAAACATCTCCGTGCCTTGGACTCACAAACTTCAGGCATCGTTTCAGTGGAGAGTTGTTGACAGCCTCTGTATATCTACAGTAACTGGCCACAGAAATATGCAGGCGCTAAATGATTGAGCACGTTGTTTGCAACCAGACCTCCTTTAATCCAATCAACACATTAAGTGGATGGAGTGGTGGAGGCATGGTTAGCGCACTGCGCTATGAACCTGCCAACCTGAGTTCGATTCTTCGTCAAGGCTAACATAGATGGCGAGTGATATCTGAACCGGTCCTGGGCCTCCCCACCCTCCCATCACCAACCCGCACTGCCCAGCGTGGTTGAGTACGGTCAAACAAACCCACGCGACAGGCACTCGTGGGGTGGGAAGAAGCCTTCATCCAGCAGCGGGTTGACAAACACGACCGTGCGTCATTGTGAAACAAAATGCCGTAATCGATAAAAATGCTCGAACACACGGGTGAGCAGCAATCCGCTTGTGCACGCGCGATCTTCGGCACGGGGACATCCGTGTGGCTCAGTCCGTTCCGAGGGAGACAATGACGCAGCTCCTGTTCTGTGCACAGGTGTCGAACATCAAGAAGCAGACGAGCGCCGTGTGGTTCAAGGACGGAAAGCAGATCATGGTGGATGAGAAGCACGACTTTAAGGATGGAATCATCTCTCTGCACATCGCCAAGGTTTGTGCGAACAGCGGACACGAAGCCTGAGGACTTTTGAAAAGTCGGTGCGTACGGCAGTGGCCAGGCGTGGTGGTGCTCATCCTGTAGGCCAGGTAACTGATTGGTGGACTCTGCTGAGAGTACGTGATCAATATAAATTACTATTTGGATTTTATGAAGAAAAGAAACTTTAATCTCAAGATGCTGCACAAAGCAAGTGGAAATGTGGGTATCCTGGGTAGAGTATGAAACGTAACTTTGTTTTACTTTATGGAGTCGACGGCATGGACAGCTGCGGGAAGGCAGTTCCAGATGATAGTGGAAACAGAGGAGATGGAGTCACATTCCGGTGAGCTAAGGTCACCTGGGGGTGGCTTCGACGGAAAGCCCTCGTCTGCTGGGGCAGGAGTGAGAACGAAGTTCCAACGGGCAGGGGCTTTGTTATTTCTCCCATGGCCCCGCTTAATTAAACAAAAGGTGATAATCCACGCGGGCGAATGGGAAGGGGAAAAAAAAAGTTTGGCAGTGAGCCGTGCGGTCGAAGGAAAAGCAAACATCGCCATCACTCGACGGGGGGACCACCATTGATTGCAGATAATTTCACACACACACACATCGCGCGCGCGTGAAGTTCGCGAGCGTGATTAATGGCGAACGAGCGACGACGCGGCCGCCGGGGGGTGAGGGTGGAACGATGACGAGTGACGCTCGGCGGTGGCCCGTTTGCAGATCACCAAGCGAGACGCCGGGGTGTACAAGCTGCAGCTGAAGGACGAGCGAGGGGACGACTCGAGCGTCCTGCAGTTCACCGGCAAGAGTGAGTGAAGCTCCCCGCGGCTCGCTCGCTCGCTCGCTCGCTCGGCGCACGCCACGATCCAGCCCTCATTGGCCACCAGCGGAAGGTTAAAAAGCATCCGTTGTGACGTCTATTTGGAATGCCTAAATACGATGCAAAATTGATAATGACGAAATTTTATCGGTCGAACGATCACAAAAATCAGAACCCCCCTAAAACACCGTTTTAAGACCCAATATAGGCTGAGTAATGTATTTTATTTCGTGCATAAAAGACGAAGATAAATGGCAGAATAATTAATTTGAACTTCGTGCACTAACGCAGTTATTGTAGTGCGGTGCCTAGTACAGCTGACAAGTCACAGGAACCGTTCATTGGTAGCTAAACATAACGTACAACGATTGTAAGCATTTACTGCCCTGTGTTTCAATCCTCGGGTGGATGGAGGCCCTTCCATGCCAGTCGAGAGGTTTGTTTGACCATACTTCACCGTGCTGGTCAGTGCGGGTTGATGAAGGGAGGAGGCCCAGGACTGTTTCGGACATCACTCGCCGCTTATGTTCGTCGTGGCCGGGAATTGAACTCTGGTGTTGCCAGGTCCAAACGCGCTGGTGCACTAACCGCTGTTCCACCACTCCAGCAACATATTGTATAATATAAGTTTACAAATACATTTAGAAGTGTCTGAAAAGACTGTCCAGGGTGCTTCAAAAAAAGTAAACGCTGAAATGTGACTATCGTTTTTAATGGGAAAAGAACGGACAATACACTAACATGATAACAAATGTAATGTTAATAGCTGCAAAAAGTCAAAGAGTCTCCCACTTAAATTTTGATTTAAAGCTTTCGTGACTGCAGGGATTCATATTATTGGTTCTTTCGGTAAAGTCACCACGTAGAAGGGAAACAATAAAATAATAAAAATATAAAACAATAAAATTATCACGACGTTTCGACTGCAACACAAGCAATCATCATCAGGTGTGAAAACCACAACAAGAAAATTTGAAAAAAGTGGCATTTATTTTTCCTCCAAGACAGAGGTTCTTTGCAAGCCATCTGGCTACCATGAGAGATTCGTTCATGAGGCTATCCACATATACAAACACAGACAATTTCAACCGAGAAGATGGATTCTGGCTTAGCAATCATTGGAAGGATTTGATAAACCATTTCGGGTCTTAATTGATTGATCACGCTTAAGGTGGCTTTCAGACCGCATCCATTATTTTTCGTCTCCCCCCTCCTCTTTTCCGAACACAGATGGACTGGTCCATCTGAACAAACTGTCAAATCGCTCTCCGTGGTACTAACGTTAAAAATAACCGCCACTTTTTTGAAATTTTCTCGTTGTGGTTTTCACACCTGATGATGATTGCTTGTGTTGCAGTCGAAACGTCGTGAGAATTTTATTCTTTTATATGTTTATTATTTTATTGTTCCCCTTCTACGTGACTTTACCGAAAGAACCAAGAATATAGTCTCCCACTTGTTCGCCATCATTGCCAACACGTCGCCTGGAATCTTCCCCAGGTGCCCTCAAGAGCCCGGAGGCAGCAGCACATTTCTTGCGGCATTGTTGTAAATTCTCAGAAGTGTTTAAAAAACAAACACTTGAAGCCGCCTGTATATCCGAAATATATACATGCGCATGAAATTAAAGATACCAAGAGACGCAAATACAGACGCATAAACTGTCCGCTGCTGCGCTGCACGGAGGTCGCAGACGTTGTCGGCGGCGGTGCCGGGGACCCCATCGCTGTGGTACCGTTCTCCCTCCTGGCTCCAGCCCCTCGCTTCCCCCCTTTGTCTTCCCAATGCAATGTTGGCTGATGACCTTTCAGCCCCCCCCCGCCCCCCCCCCCAGTTTTCTGTCGCCCACTCAACTACGACCAGGCCTATCCCAATCCCTCTTTATCGATCCATCTTGCTTTAGCTGCATCAAAACTATACCACGTACAATAGCCCAATTATTTATTTCAAATTATTGTCCCGCTATGTGCAATTGTATAATTGCTGCCTTGCAAAGGCGCTATATGAATCTCATTTAGATAAGATGAGACAAGGACATATGTAGGCACATAGACACCCATATACACGTGATTTTTGTTTTTTTTATTTTTTACCTACGTGACTTTACCCAATAGAACCAAAGAGTACGTGTCACCTGTCTGTGTTTACCCTGCACACGCTGAATTCCTTGATAATTGGAGTAGCCGCCACATGAAGAAACGTACTGCGTTTTTAATTGTATTTTGAAGATGCAGAACTGCAAAATACTGCAATAAAAAAAATATTTTAATTACGTAATGCCCTTGCAAATGTACATGGGATATAAGACGTACAATGTTACTTTGGACAATTTTCACCACCCTTACTTTCTAACCGTTTGACCGACTTGCAATGCACTGTCAATACTATGCTTATTAATGCATTATTGATAGTGATGATGTTGATGATTAAGATTTAAAACAGTAAAATTTATTTTAAATACTGCCCAGCTCTGGGTACAATCATGGAGCGATACCAACCTACAATCATCCACGTTCTCACGGTGCGACACCATGTTTGTCAACAACACTCTGATTTGTAACCCACGTGGGCAATTAACAACATAATCTATGTTTGGACACCGATCTATACTGCAGAGAATATGTTCAAATGTTATATATGTATAAGGCGTGATGATTGTTCATAATTCAACCACCTCACGAAACGTAACCACTGGGAGTCATTGATATTGAAAGTCATAGATATTATATACAGATGATGACAGGATTGTTAGCGAAATGTGTTCTGTTGTTGTGGTTTTGTTTTGGCAGCTTTTGATCAAGCCATTAAGGAAGTCTGCAAAATGATTGGTGAGTTGGTGTGGGCTCTCCCTTGCCGTTTCTAGCTCCACATCTCACTTTTTTGTTCTTGAATGAATCACTAAACACCCGCAATCGACGAGTCATCCATTCATCACTGTTCGTGTACATTCGCTCCACTGCGTGGATTTTTTTTCCTCCGGGTCCTCTGGTTTTGTCGCTCCACATTTAGAAACAGGCATTGAGATTATTTCGATTAATTTGGCGCTATAAATGTCCAAATGACGGGCCACTATTTTTTAGCTATAATTTGTGGCCAGGTTGCTTCTCTCAAAAACCTTTTCCTGGTTGGATGGGGATGGTTAAGTTGTATTTGTATGTGTGTGGGTGATTTGCTAACATTTTTTTTTACTTTGCACTACTTTCCTGTGTTTGTACTGTTTGTTGTTGTAACGTTTTTACCCTCCCCTACTGGACATCTATGATAAATAACTGTATATCTCATCGCATTCCTCCAGAATGCACCTCGGCATCAACAATGTTGTCTCTCTCGCAATTTAATTTGTCTTGTCGTTTTACTTTTTCACTGTAGATCAGTGCCAACACTCTTAAGTGTTGTGGACTGTCCCACAGAAGCAGATATCATAGAACTACTGAGATCGCCCCATGCCGTATAACAAACCTACTATAGTAAACCAGTAATGTCTGTCCTTAACGCTCGTGACGTCACTCCACATTGATCAGCCCCCCTCATTAATAATCATGAGCAGGTGACGTCCTCCAAATGAACCCCCCCCCCCCATTATTGCCTACTATAATGAGCCAAGAATGTATGTGTGCAACGCTCTTGACGTCACTCCACGTCAACCAGCCCCCCTCATTAATAATCATGAGCAGGTGACGTCACTCCACATGGAGCACCCTCCCTCATTAGTAATCATGAGAAGGTGACGTCACTCCACATGAAGCACCCTCCCCCCTCATTAATAATCATGAGCAGGTGACGTACCCCACATCGAACAGCCCCCCTCATTCATAATAATTAGCGGGTGACGTCACTCCACATGGGGGGGGCGAGGCGCCTCCTCCTCCCCCCTCCTCGGCGTCAACTGACAACCCTCACTACAAAGGCAGAACCCTCACGTCACGTGATCTCCGTAACGCTATTGAGACATAGAAGTAAAAAGGACGTCGTGATGTACAAGGGATTATAACCTTTACATGAAATAGGTCTGGGTCACCGCACCCTTACAAATTGCACACGAATTGATGCAATGAATATATCACGTCGTGGTCTGTGCTTTTCGCTTGCAAGTTTCAGATTTACTGCTATACAACCGTCCTTGGACGGGCAAAATGCTAGTAACATATATTGAGCCCAATCTCAGCACTGGAGAATCACAGCTATAAGCTCATGAGGTCCATTAATTTACCTTAGAACAGTCTTATATACCTGCGCCCAGAACGGCAATGCCCTGGCCAACCACCCCGCCTGCTCTGATGAGTCTGGCGTGCCTGATATCGTTGATGCCCCTGGTAATGCCGTCCAGAACGCCAGGATGTCGCAATGTACGATGCGAGGGAGGATGTGGAATTAAAAACATTTAACGGAATATATAGCAAAAAATCAGACCTGGAATTTATTCCACTACCCATAACTCATTTATTACAAACTGAACTTTCTTCAGGGATGTAGGGTCAGTGATTGGCAACGTGTGTAGTAGATATTTGCGCGCTGTGCCTTGCCGTGCTCTGCCCACCCATGCCGTCCTTGCCACCGTTGTTCCCACTGCCCTCTGCTCGGCTGCATCCCTCCCAGTCAAGTCGGCCGCACCACTGAAAGCTCAGGCCACAGAGGAGGGAGTCCGCATTCATTCCACCGTCAAGCACTGCCTCCCCGAGGTGAAGAGCGTCTGGTTCCACGCGTAAGTGATTCGTTCACAGCGTCACAAAAACCCGCATCTCGCATCCTGCAGTCCAGCTTTTAAAACGTTTCTTACGAATCTGCTTCGTGAGATGGTGTGCGCTTCACTTGTAGACCGATTTCGCGAGCACCCACGGAGATCTCACACCCTTTGCTTCAAGCGAACATTATTTGCACGCCACGAATATTGCGCAAGTGGCTCTTGTGCAGTCAAAGCGAATGCACAGCGGGTGACTGGTCCTCGCTGACGTGATGGCGGGGCAGGGAGAGCAAGCTCACCAAGTCGGAGCGGCTTGAGTTCGGCAGCTCGGACACGGAGCTGTGGATGAAGATGAAAGCTCCCGTCGACAAGGACAAGGGCACGTACAGGCTGGAGGCCACAGGCAACACCGAGACGGTCAAACTCTCCATCGACCTCTCCGGGAAAGGTAACCTTGCGACGCGTTCGGGACGCTGGTGGAGTAGCCGTCTGCAACCTGAGAAATGGAATGTTGGTCTCGACGAGCTCTCTTGTCATCTCTGCACGCTTTCTAGATGCGTATTTTTTTTCGTTCTGTTCAGCCCCCCTTTGCGCTTTACGGGATCAACAGCGTTTTATCTGCTTTTGCCTGTGTGGATGTCTGGCTGTTTTTTTATCTTCCGATAGACTCCAACGTACAGCATAGGGGAGCGCCCACTCGTTTTACAGCCATAGCTTGCAGGATTGTTATGAAATAACAACGCCTGAATGCATTTTCTTTAACCGCCTTTTTGTTTGTTCGTTTGTTCGCTCAAAATTGCGTGACTTTCACTTCCTTTCGTTCGCAGCCTTCGCTGGCTTGCTGGAAGAGTACCAGAAGCTCGAGTGAGTCGGCGTGCTGCTACAACAACACTCTCACGCCGGGTCAAACCCACAAACAGCGGTCGCGCTTCTCACTTGCCGTTCCGCGAGCGCCGTCGCTGCGCGTGCATTCTGAATCGGGAAGCGTGGCGCCCTTGGCTTCCTCCCGACGACCGGATCGCCTGGGACGCGCCCTATCCCGTCAGATCTGGGCGGCTAAGCAGGGTCGACCCTGGAGAGCACTCGGATGGGTGAACACCACAACGCGGTGTAGCAGGCGCTGTGCGCAGTTGAGGTGCAGGGCAGCAAAAGGCCCCCCTCCCCTCTACCTATCCGCCTTGTTCTGTTCACCAAAAACCCACAGTGACAAGCGTGGAGTTTGGTCAGATATACTTCACGGGCCTAACCAGGCGTGGATAAGGCTGTCGTCCAGCAGTGGGTCGACAAATCTGGCTGTGCATGTATTCATTGCGTCGTGTTTACCAGTTTGTGTCTTTGTTTAAAATTTGACTGCGAATGTTCTTCATTTTTGGACAGGCTTGCTGCTAATGCAGATAAAAGTGAGTATAGCGAGGCGAGGGAGTAGTGTTTACTAATGCCCTTAACCAACAGTGCCTGTGTGTGTGTGTGTGTGCGCGCGTGGGGAGCGGTGGTGTAGCGGTTAGCGCTACGCTGCGCTACGAACCCATCGACCCGGGTTTGCTTCCCGCTCACGACCAACATCGGTGACGATTATCTGTACCGTTCCGGGGGCCTCCCCTAGCTCGACTCAGCCTCAAATGAGTAGCTGGTGCGGTGTGTAGTAAACATCGCTATAGGGGAGACAAAGGTCGGCCGGGCGTGGTGCTGGCCACCCACACCCCCTCGTGTGCCGGCCTTCATAGGTGCTCGCAAACAGCACTTTCCCCAACAGTCTGTTAAGGCTACACGGGGGAGGGGGGGGGGGTCTTTGTGTCACAACATTGTGCGCATTGTTCTCTCAGAATGATTTGCGGCCTGGCAATCTTTTACCCTCATCCAAGCCACTCATGGCAAAGGCATTCGTGCCATTCTTTGTGCACGTTGACAATATAGGCAGCGTGAGCTTGGCTTCAGCACTATATTGTGACATGATGTGATCCCCGCTGTCAAGAGATGTCGTCTGACACAAGAGTCGGTGATCGTGTTTGTGCTGATATCTCGCTGCTGCGTGTCATAATCTTTGAGGCCCTCGGAGATGATAAGTGCATCCGCGAAAATCAAAAGTCGCATGAGTGCGCGTGCATGTCCCGCAGACATACGTTGCCGCTATCGAGGCACGGATTATTTAAGTGACATCAGTTGTCATGATACACTTGCATGCGTATTGTGTGTTGGATCGTCTGCAAGTGTGAAGGTTTGTCTTTACGCAATAGATTATTGCCTTGTCGTGATAACTGCCTCAGAAGCGTGGGTGTTTTTTTTTAACGAGCAATCTTCAACAAAAGAAGTAAGCAAAAGTCTCGTATTTGTAACCCATACCCGATGCTGTACTTGCAGACAATGCCAGGATCGTAGGAGGGTTGCCTGATGTTGTCAGCATTATGGAAGGAAAGGTAAGGAATTGATGGACATTCACCAAAGCAGCTGCTGTTTGAACTTTAAATTGGAATGGAACCTCTGAAATCTGTTTTTGTCCTTGTTGTTGCATTGTTTTCTTTAGTAAAAAATTCAATAAAGTTGCGATGTTTGAATATTTCAAATGTTCTGTAAAATAAATAGAAAGAATTATGAAATTACTACCGTTTTTGAACAAGGCCGCAAACTCAAATATTCTCTATTTGCTGTGAGATGCTGAACCACATAAAGCACAACCTTACACATTTTTATAATGCCTAAATGTGAATTAGTTTGGGCTAGGACTAAAACTGCAGTTAAAGTTGACACTCGAGCCAGGGTTTTGGCCAAGGGATAAGGATAAAGACGAGGATAAAACTAAATCATCAGGATTAACTCCAGGGTAAATAAGTCAAGGATTTAGGCTTAGGCAGGCGTTAGGATATCTGCGAAGCTGTAGGTGGCTTGGAGGGAATGACGCAGGCGTTTGGGATATCTGCGCAGCTGTGGGTGGGTTGGAGGGATTTGACGCGGATAAACCAAGGAGCATAAGCCATCGTGTGAACTCCAGTCATCCTCGCAGAAGCAGCAGCAGCAGCTTCTGGCTAGCCATAAAACAAACAGGGTCGCCACATCGCGCGCTTTCAGATGCGCTTCTGCTGCCATCTGGAACGCTATTCCTTTCCAATCTTTGGAAGCCATGGGAGCCATGCACTTTCAAATCTAGAATGAAAACTCAATTCTTTAGATGTTTTTGTGTTTAGCTTTTTTTTTGTCCTTCCCCTGCACCTCTGATTAACACGGGTCGGCTACTTATGGTGCGACAGAAGCTCAACATGTATACCAACATTCCGTGCCCCACTTCTTAATTTAAGACTGTATGTTCTTTGGGTCTTTCGGTAAAGTCACGTAGATAAGTTCAAATAAAATAACCAAAAACTACGACGTTTCGATCACAACACACGCGGTCGTCATTCATTTCCTGATGACGACCGCTTGCGTTGCGATCGAAATGTCATTTTTGTGTTATTTTCTTTGAACCTATCTTCGTGACTTTACCGAAAGAAATAAAAGAAACAATGAAAACACGACGTTTCGGAGGCAAAGCAAGCTTCCGTCTTCAGGTGGGACCAGTCACAGCAAAATCGCTGCACCAGCACTTGGCACAAAGTGCAGCGATTTTGCTGGTGCAGCGATTTTGCTGTGACTGGTCCCACCTGAAGACAGAAGCTTGCTTTGCCTCCGAAACGTCGTGTTTTCATTGTTTCTTTTATTTTATTTCAATTTATTTTCATTTGTTTTACCTACGTGACTTTACCGAATAAAACCAAAGAGTATGAATCCTTGCAGTCGCGAAAGCTTCAAATCTAGAATTTACCGAAAGACCCAAAGAATATGAATTCCTGCAGTCACGAAAGCTTTAAGTCTGAATTAAAACTGCATCACCTGCGCCCACCACTGCAAGCGTTGCCATCGTGGAAACTGCCTCCTTGCCGTTTGGTGCAGACGTTGAACCTGACCTGTTCCGTGGCGGGGGAGCCGGTGCCAGAGGCCACGTGGCTGAAACACGACAAAGTGCTCTCCAAGAGCGAGCACTACATCATTAATTTCGAAGAGGGGCGTTTCGCGAACCTCATCATCCAGAACATCACGATGGCCGACACGGGGAAGTATGGCATCGTAGTGACGAACAAGTATGGCAAGGACACCGCCGACTTCACCGTAAGTGTCTACAAGGAGGGAAAGGAGATTGAGGAAACTTCAAAAAAGCCCAAGTACTCGCACAGCAGAAAGTAGCTCCTCAAAGTGGCCCCTCAAGGCCTTCAGAAAAGGCTTCTTTCAGCTGGATCTTTCTCAGCTGATCCTGTGCTCTCTTTGTTCAATTTGATATTTAGTAGAATTTTGCTGTGCTATTTCTTGATAAACAAAACAAAAAACCTGGCAATTTTATAGCCGATAAATCGGAGCTGATAATTCCGTTTTGACTAAAATTATTTCCACCCGACCGTTGCTATCAAGAAAGAATATGTCCTCTACTTCCGCTTAGGTTGATTTAGAAAAAAAAAAACACTGCATGGTAAAGGTAATGTTTGTTTTACCTTGTTGCAAAATCAGTAATGAAATTAATTCATTATTTCATCAATTCATTGCTCCATTTATTCATTGCTTGATTTATTTTTCGGGAGTTATCTGCATTCTTGCTCTCATTTATTTTATTTAAAAGTTCCCTCCATTGGACGTTGCTCCATATTTACACTTAGCACACTCACTTAAGTCCAAAATGACTGATATCATCATAACACCGGTACACGCTTCCATGTGCAACGTATTTGCCCGTCCAGAATTTTCCATCCTACGTGCGAACGTGCTTGTGTGCATGACCGTATTGGCTTCTGTGTGCTCGACTGTATGTCAGATATGTACGTGTCATTGCGACAGTATTCCACTGTTGTGCAACATCGATTGGCAAGTGGGTATCATCGTTCAAGTAATTTTTTTTTGCCTCAGAGTATGATGTGTTAGCATGATGGAATTATGATTACGTTTTGGTTGGAATTGAAGTGATAACCCTCCTCAACACTTAAAACATAATGAGCATGTGGTTCTTGTGCTAAATGACATTGTGAACTTTGTAGCATGCTGTTTTGTTGTCCTCATTAAATTTGTTGTATTTCATAAACATGTTGTTGTCTTTCCTTTGTATGATTTGTATTTTTTCTCATCGCCTCTTAATTCTTGTTTAATTGTTTTTTGTCTGTTGGTGAACTTGCATTTTCCTTACGAATGCTGTCATTAACTCCCACGTCGTTTCATTAATGCCAATACTGTACAGGCATTTTTGTGACTAAGCACACACACACACACAAAAACCTTGCCTTGCTTACTTTGCGACGAGCTTCTGTGAGACTAAAAGGGGCCTCGGATGTTGAATTGTTTCCCAGTTGAACGCATCACCGCACCGCCTCTCTTTTAACGCGTTCAACTGTAACAAAACAGCATCGGGTCTCGTGTCTTGTAGCGAGCGCAGATTCCATCCACCCAGAAGAGTCATCATCCGTGGGGATATTTACATTTTGTTTTTATTCAGTTCTCAAGGAGACGGAGGCGAAACCTGGCTTGGGAGCCCCTCGTCTTAGTCCTGAGATCCTTGTTACAAATCTCTTCAGGGATGTTTCCAAGTGGGGATTTATGAGACCGTTCTCTATTTTTTTTACGAAGGGGTGCAAATCGTTAAAGCAGTCCTCATGTAAGCGCCGCGGAAACGGATGAATCTAGTTCACTCAAAGCAGATGAATCGGTTGTGAGCAATTCGTTTTAAAGAGCGGTAATTGAGAGAGAGAGAGCGAGTAGAATGGTCAATATGGTTTGTATTCGACGTAAAAAATTATGTGTATACTGCAGACGTAAAGTTATGGGAGTATATTTTTCTAAATTGTATTAACAAAGTATAGGAAAGCTGAGATCCAGGGTTTATGGCGTTCAGCTGGCCTTCTGTAAGTACAGTGAGGGAAAAAAGTATTTGATCCCCTGCTGATTTTGTACGTTTGCCCACTGACAAAGAAATGATCAGTCTATAATTTTAATAGGTTTATTTGAACAGTGAGAGACAGAATAACAACCAGAAAAAAGCATGTCAAAAATGTTATAAATTGATTTGCATTTTAATGAGGGAAATAAGTATTTGACCCCCTCTCAATCAGAAAGATTTCTGGCTCCCAGGTGTCTTTTATACAGGTAACGAGCTGAGATTAGGAGCACACTCTTAAAAGGAGTGCTCCTAATCTCAGCGTGTTACCTGTATAAAAGACACCTGTCCACAGAAGCAATCAATCAGATTCCAAACTCTCCACCATGGCCAAGACCTAAGAGCTCTCCAAGGATGTCAGGGACAAGATTGTAGACCTACACAAGGCTGGAATGGGCTACAAGACCATTGCCAAGCAGCTTGGTGAGAAGGTGACAACAGTTGGTGCGATTATTCGCAAATGGAAGAAACACAAAAGAACTGTCAATCTCCCTCGGCCTGGGGCTCCATGCAAGATCTCACCTCGTGGAGTTGCAATGATCATGAGAACGGTGAGGAATCAGCCCAGAACTACACGGGAGGATCTTGTCAATGATCTCAAGGCAGCTGGGACCATAGTCACCAAGAAAACAATTGGTAACACACTACGCCGTGAAGGACTGAAATCCTGCAGCGCCCGCAAGGTCCCCCTGCTCAAAAAAGCACATATACATGCCCGTCTGAAGTTTGCCAATGAACATCTGAATGATTCAGAGGACAACTGGGTGAAAGTGTTGTGGTCAGATGAGACCAAAATGGAGCTCTTTGGCATCAACTCAACTCGCCGTGTTTGGAGGAGGAATGCTGCCTATGACCCCAAGAACACCATCCCCACCGTGAAACATGGAGGTGGAAACATGCTTTGGGGGTGTTTTTCTGCTAAGGGAACAGGACAACTTCACCGCATCAAAGGGACGATGGACGAGGCCATGTACCGTCAAATTTTGGGTGAGAACCTCCTTCCTTCAGCCAGGGCATTGAAAATGGGTCGTGGATGGGTATTCCAGCATGACAATGACCCAAAACACACGGCCAAGGCAACAAAGGATTGGCTCAAGAAGAAGCACATTAAGGTCCTGGAGTGGCCTAGCCAGTCTCCAGACCTTAATCCCATAGAAAATCTGTGGAGGGAGCTGAAGGTTCTAGTTTCCAAACGTCAGCCTCGAAACCTTAATGACTTGGAGAAGATCTGCAAAGAGGAGTGGGACAAAATCCCTCCTGAGATGTGTGCAAACCTGGTGGCCAACTACAAGAAACGTCTGACCTCTATGATTGCCAACAAGTGTTTTACCACCAAGTACTAAGTCATGTTTTGCAGAGGGGTCAAATAGTTATTTCCCTCATTAAAATGCCAATCAATTTATAACATTTTTGGTATGCGTTTTTCTGGATTTTGTTGTTATTCTGTCTCTCACTGTTCAAATAAACCTACTATTAAAATTATAGACCGATCATTTCTTTGTCAGTGGGCAAACGTACAAAATCATCAGGGGATGAAATACTTTTTTCCCTTACTATATATACGTGTAACAATAGCAGCCCTGAGTTATGATCTAGGAAGCATTCTTTTTTAAATCATCATTGAAGACATTACGATGTTAAACTGATTTTTACCTTTTTGACCAATTGCTTTAACTTGCCTTTCCACTTACTGAAATTGACTCTTTTTTGTCAGTTTTTTTTCTTCTAGGGTCAACACAGGTGCAGCGATTACTGCAGATAAGTTAGACACAGCAATGGGACGTATTTATTAATTACATTTGTTTTCATAAGAAAGTTTTTTGGGTTAGATCGCCTTATTTATAAATGCGTCGCGACCCTCCACCACCCGACACGGCCAATCAGTAAAAAACGTGTCACGTTGACAAAAGACAAATAGTTCACTACTTTAGCCTACCGGTGTGTTGAAGAGTGAATCCACAACTCTCCCTCGTCATGGTTTATAATTAAATAAACACTCACAATAACAGTCGGCAGTAATCGTGGCATTGAGGCGCCTATAGCTATTAGGATGTTCGTTCAAGTGGCAGGCACTCTAATGAACATTGGCATTTTTGTTTACGTATCTGAGCCAACTGCCGTAGACAATCTACAGCATTGGAGGTGGCCGGGTGACTCAGATGTCATAGGTCAAAACACTGAGCTGGCACTGCTGCGACCCTGAATTCAAATCTGGACCCTCAAATGTAGTGAATGTATGGTCTCAGTCCAGCAATAGATGACTGCGCACAAAAATATTACATACAACTTTTGTCTTCAAGTCATTTTTGCTAAATTCCAGCTCTGAAAATGTAAAGTTATCCATTGCACTGTTATGTGAAGGACATTTCTGTCTCGCAGGCAATGTGTGAAAGTCTACCTCGACTGTGGATTAAGGGCCGTCCTCTCACAGAGTCGCACTGACCTGCGAGAATTCCGAGTTGATACTTCGTTTCAATACACAATATCAATAGCACAATTGGAATATATTTTGAATTTAGTTTTTACTTATTAAAGCGTTAATGAGAGAGGGGGGGGGGGGATTTGAATGGGTGTCTCCTCTAGCACTGCCCCATCTATACTTCATTGTGCGATTCAGTATTACTCCGACCTGATGAAGCTGTTTTTCAAGACGGGGCTAACACTTGGATATTGAGGACAAAGGGATCGCTGGGCTGTGTGTGTGTCGTGTAGCTGTTAGCGCTATGCAGCGCTACGAACCCGGTATCCCGAGTTCGATTCCCGCTCATAGCATCGGTGACGATTAACTGAACCGGTCTTAGGCCTCGAATGAGTACCTGGTGTTGTGTGTAAAAACATCGCCACTGGGGAGACAAAGGCGGTCGGGCGTGGTGCTGGCCACCCACCCCTTCGTGTGCCGTGCCGGCCTTCGTAGGTGCTCGCTAACAGCACTTGCCCCAACAGTATGTCAAGGCCACACGGGGGATATTTGTATTTGTGAGCGACGTCTAACCAGTGCCGGATTAAGCTAATGCGGAGCCTGTAGCATATGTAAATAAAAGAACACACAAAGATTAAAACACATTTTTGTTTTACTTGCATAGAAAAGTAATTGTATTTTTTCATTTGTTATACAGCCAAATAATATGACAAATCGCTAACCTTAAACACCCGGTCGTTCATAAAAGTTGAAGGCGGTAATAGTACTATAGTAATAGAGCAAGTGCAGAATCACTGAAGCGGTATTGATAGCTTGAAAGCATTTAGCGCGGGGCCCTTGAAAGTGCGTGGCCCGTAGCTACTACATATGTGGATACTTTTGCTACGAGGATAATCGGACTCTGCGTCTAACGTGTGGCTTTGTGGCGCGTGCAGCTGAATGTAACCGACAAGGAGGAATGAACGGCGCTCCCTTGATGAAGACACTCCGTGCTCACGCACACGGCATCTTAAACTGTACGACGTTGCCAAGGGGTTCTGTATAACCACATCGGTGGACTGGGGTGGCTGAAGCAAGGAAGATATCAAACGAACGCAACATTTGCTCAATTAGTGAAATGAGCAAATCCTGCGTCTGAACGTGGAAGTGCGGTGCGTTGTGAGGGTGCCGCATTAATTCACCGGGGTCGACAGTGCTGTCATTTGGCGGCAGCAATGCAGTTGTGATTCCGTTACCCGAGCTCGCGCTCTCGAATGCTGACCACTGCGTAAGACATTGAACTCATTCGTCATCGGTAGCATTGTGCGATTCCTCATGTGCTGTCGACACGCGTTTCCCTCCGCCTCTTCCGATCTCTCGCCGCCTCCTCCTCTGTCGTTGCTCTCCCAGGGCTTTGCTCTTGTGCATCTTCCTGCATCAGTTTTTATCGCATCAGTTATGGACTCAATTTAGCGCACACATCTGGCAACGGCAAACATTAATTTTGCAATTAGTAATCGTTGCCTGCACTGTTTTGGTCTCGTTTAAAAAGTTGACATTCGAGATGACTTGGAACCCAACATTGTGCTGCAGTTATAATCACCTCCTACACTACTGACCCGGTCATAGAAAATTCCAGATCAGTTTTTTTTTTCTCACGCTCATATTTCGCCCAACTTCAACTCCATACCGGCAGTGCTCTCAATGTTTGTCGCCCTCTGCCGGATAAACCCAGGGAGTAGATTGGGAGAGACAGATGTGGAGTGGCTGCGGTACCGTGCTGTGGTTTAAGCTGAAATAGCACCCCCTAGCATGCGCTATTCAGAAAACCCACAGCTTGATCACCTAATTTTAAGAGAAAATGAGTCAACGGGAGTCTGAATGTTCTCTGGATTCTGCCCTTTGGCTTCAATGTTATTTGCCAAACATCGCTTTAGGTTGGGTTTGTGCTGTGAATGGCAGCATCTGTTGACGCCTCAAATTATTTACTTCTCTTCATAACGTGAAATTTTACATCTAAGCTTCGAACATATTTTTTGTCCAGAAAATAATTAATGACACTTTAGTGACTTTTCTGTATTGCAGTCCTGTCAAGACGTCATATTGCCAAAGAATGGTACAGAAAGTGTTATATTTGAGAACTTCAAATCTATATTATATTTTAGTTGTTAACGTATTCTTTTTGGAATCATGATTATTATTTAAAAAAGTTGCATTAACATAATATATCACTCAGAATAATATTAAGATATATAGAGAGCGGTGTGGGGTAGAGTCGTGGTGCAGTGGGTAGGGCACTGCACCTATACACCTGGTAAGCAGCCAACATCAGCGGTGAGTGATATCAGAACCTCCAGTAACCACCGCTTTCACCAGCCCACACGCCTACATGGCGAAGCACGGTCAAACAACCCCCATGACCAACAGCACGGGGAAACCTTCAAAGGGCTGTGTGATTATGGTTGCGTGTGAATTTCCCTGCGAGGAGATATTCTTTCGTTTCGGAGAGCTGCACTCGTTGCATGTCCGACGCGTCAATCCACAGCTATGGCCAACTGCTGCAGTTTATTTCTCCGCCACGTGATTAAAATCTGGTCTTCACAAGCTCCACAATTGTGTGATGATAACAAAGAAAGTGGGACGAAGGTGGTATGCCTTTGTAAAAACATGTACTCCCCAACATACTGGCGTTCCCATTGCTTTTCAGTTGCATTATTGAGTTTAATTTGTATTTATATGGCGGAAGATCTATGAGACTAATTTCGTGCCAATTAGTATGCAATTAATTATACTCTTGGTAAGTATTCGCATTGCATGAGCAGCACACCTCTCTTTGTCTTCATCGAGACTACCTTTAAGCATTAGCTCTTATTTAACATATTCACCATGGTGCTGTAATGGGATGTTAGCCCTCTTTAAATGGCAGTATGAAGAGCCTTCTGTGTTAACATTCTTTGCCATCAGTCCTCAGGTGTGTGCTGACATCACGCAGATAGATTTATGTTGAGAGAGTCTCGCCTTTTCAAACTGTTTACACACAAGGTCGCACCGCATGATGGATCAGCTCTGAATGGAATGTGCTGCTGCGTTCTCAAATAAAAATCGGAGTGAAGTTATGCTGGTGTCTTCTGTTTGCAAATTGAGCCATTGGAGGTGGCCCAAAGTAAAGTAAATAAATGGCACTCCCAGTGTTATGTTATAATGTTGGGATAGTAAATCTAATCCCGAATGCTGTTTTATATTGCTGATCATCTGGTAGCGGTGTAAAGATTAGTGTTGTTACAAACGATAGCCGGTAACCATTATCAGAATCGATCACTGGTTTCAAGAGTCAGGAACCGGTGATCCTTCCCAGTGGAAGATTGTGCTGATTGGCCACGCGCTAACGTACAAACGGCACGTCGGCCTAAGTCACCGCATGGGACATGCGCCCTCGTTTCTCAGTTGAAAGGCAAAAAATATACACTCTATCAATTGCTTTGCTTGCTTGTTCGCAACAATGCTGGCGGAAAGGCCTCCACTAGAGGGAGCTCAAGAGGGAGTTTAGTCTGCTCCTCCACGCTGCTCAGACATCTTCGAAGAGGTAGGCATACCCGCACTTAACCCCACCACACGTTTGACTGTGGTGGGCTCTTTATACTGGTGCGTGGACATGCGGGGATGTGGTGGTATTTACGAAACTTGGCCCATCATGGAATATAACCAATGTCATTTTCATTACAAATCCACTGTGCTAACCATCACGCCACAGCTGCTCCCTTTGTGTTCAAATTAATAAGGATACCATGCATGTTTATTGCCAGATATTCTACATGTGCGGTAAAATCCGGTTTTTAAAAAAAATGCGGTTATAAAGCATAATTAGCAAACGGTCTTAACAACCCGAGTAGTGATTCATCCTACGCCGTGATCGAATTGCTTAGCTTCGTGGTTGCGTGAGATTCTACTCAACAAATGAAATCGTTTCTAATCTTGCTAAGAGGCAGAGGCTACACGACCCGTCGCATCCACCTTTTCAAATGTCCCTCTCCCCAACAATGCTGACATTTCCAACGCATCCCCAAGTTCAACGCATGATCGTCATACGAACCCTGTCCCCCTCTTCATGAATAAACGCATTTAGGTCCAGGGACCTAAATGCAAAAAGCGTAAAAAATAGCAAAATAAGAATGGTTCCGGAAGATTATAAATGTAGGGGTTTTTTTTGCTCCATAACGTTCTTTGAAATGTCCCAAAATATTCTGAAATTATTTTTCAATAAATATTGCTTGCTGTCATTGCTGTTTTAATATTAATCGGTTCCTTTATTTGTTAAGATCAGTCAATTCTAAACTTGCGCATGGCAATATGTTCAGAAGCTAAATTGAAATCTCGAGGTCTGCGAGCCATTACATGTGTATTACATCTAACTTGCCTTTCTCTAATTATTCATGGAGCATCTTAATACTTTTATTTTATGTAAATTATCACGATCCGTGATAGTAAATATCGATTTGCAGTAGTTCTTAACCTTTACTGCAGCCTTTCACTCTGTTTGTCAATCGTAAAAAAAAAATGTATAATTTTAACAAATACATGGCTTTAACGAAACAACGTCGTTATACTTCTCACCCCCACCAAGGGCATCTCGCACCCCAGAGGGTTGTGCAGCGTGCACCCCAGCTTAAGAACCGCTGATCTATACGGCGCTGCTTAGTGATGCACACATTGCAGGAAATGCACGGGAGTGATGACCCAACCATGGGTGCACACGCCCTGTGCCGCCGCTGGTGGCAGAACTTGTTTATCGGTGTGTGCGAGGATCTGTATTTGTGTGTATGTGGGCAGCGGTCGTGTAGCAGCCAGCGCGCTGCGCTACGAACCTGGCCATCCGGGTTCGATTCCTGCCAACGCAAAGTGATGATTATCTGAACCAGTCCTGGGCTTCCACTAGTTCGACTCAGCCTTAAAACAGTACGTGGTGCGGTGTGGAAATATTGGCACTCGGGAGACGAAGGCGGCTGGGCGTGGTGCTGGCAACCCACCCCCTCGTGTGCCGTTGCTGGCCTTGAAAGGTCGTCGCTAACAGCACTTGCCCCAGCAGTCTAAGGCTCTCGGGGGGGATTTTGTCTTGCGTCTTATATTTGTCTGTAGAGATGTGTGTATACTTGTACGAGTGTGTACAAATATTGCGTACGTCAGACCTTTCAATCACACACGGAAACGGGTTTAGGTGTAGCCTATGGGGGCTCAGGGGTACAGCTTACGAGCGTCCTGATTTAACAACAATCCTAATTTGAGAAAGGCTGACCAGGAGTGTGGGGGAGAATTTGTAAAAAATAAAATTTTGCCTTGTTGTACTTGCGAACAAATCGACTTACGAACAGACCTCTGGAACCTAACTCGTTCGTAAGTAGAGTAATCTCTGTACTCGGTACTACTTGAAATTATTTTTAGCATTCTTTAAAAGTTACGAACAAGCACACTTCATTAACAGCGCATCCAGTGGAAAGATATTGGAATTATAAACCTTTATTTCGCAACTTTCAATTTAAACAGACAAAAGCCACCCATAGAAAAACAAACAAGCTTTGTAATGTGCGTAGAGCTGTAACGTGATTGTGGATGAAATGTCACCATTACCGATTTTTTTCGTTTAAAACAAACTCGTGGACAAAATGTGTGACATGGACGTGGCTTCGGGAGCTCTTGACTCGTGCACACAGGATGGAGTGTTGCGTCTATGCGACGCGCTTGTGCTTTCTGATCATTGTCACATTTCCAGCCGTCACGTTCTGCAGGGTGGGTACACCAAACACAACAAAAGCAAACACGTGGTCAACAAAACCATCGGGGAGACACCCTTGTACAAATGGGGATGACACTTTTTAAAAATGTTGATGTCAAGCAGCCTATTTGCTACACGGACGTATATTTGAACTCTGCAGGTAGGTAGATATCTCACATGCATAATGGTCTCATGATATACCAGATTGAAACACATTTCCAACTCAAAGTCATAATAGAAAAAAAACTAAAAACCTTATATTTATTTTACTGGGAAAGGCCCACTGAGCGATGCAGCTATTTTTCAGAAGTGACCTGGTCACAAATGATAGCTCAACGAAGTGACTTATGTGGACATTTATAGCAGCCAAAATCTCTAAATGCATATTTATAAATATGGAGGGAAACAACGAAAGAAATAGAGAAAAATCCACCTGACCACGGGGGAAACATCCAAATTCTAAATATACAGGAGTCAGGCTCGGGATCGAACCCTCGACCTCCTGCATGCCAGGCGAGGGAGTTAACATCTCGCCACCGCGGCACCTGTAGACTGCTGTCGGTAAGCCAGTGGTACTGGTTAATCATACATACGAATATAGAGCACTATATCCGCCTGTGGGCCGGGTCTGGCCCATAAAAGCTCTTGAAGTAACCCACCCAGCTAATGCCCTCTGAGAGATATGGCCTGCTAAGACAGAGTACAGATTATTGAGACGTAAGAGAGATAAATAAGAGGTATATGAGAGACCTAGAGACAAGAGACACTGATTAATCATTATTGTACACGTGGCACTTTGAATTTTATGACGTCATGTGACCAGCCAGCACACCAACGTTTTATTACGTGTATTGTCTGCAGAGTGTCTCACACACGGGGGGGCCTCTTAGGATGATGTCATACCTCGATGAGCTCATCGCCCTTCACCTCCTGGGTGTGCGTCAGCTTGTCCACCTTGTAGATCAGCTTGCCTCCCTCGAGCACGGCTATGCACTGAATGGACACATAATACATCAGAGAAAGGTGATTCACACATGATTGCACATCATGAGCCCATAAATCTAACCACTGAGACATCAACCGGTGAGGCATTCTCAGTCTAACAACCAAGACACTCATGCATTCATGAGAATGAAAAGTCAGATTTTAGGTGTATGGCAATAGTGCTTGACTGGCACCAGAACAGTTTATTTTCTGGGAAGCTGTGCGAATTTCACACTGCTGTTCGATGAAGTCAATATCGTCACATTTATTACAGATGCACCCCCACGTGTCTCGTGGCTGGAGTAGCATGCATTTGCGCAAAGGGTTATATGTATGTTTGTTGAACTTCTTTCGCACCGCACGTAGCCAACCGTGCTAATCGGAGGTTCGGGGGAAGGACAACAAACTAACCACAAAAAAGCAATATAGATGATTTAAAAGTGCACAGCTCCAGTGATTTCCTAATATTGGTAGGAAGAGCGTTCCTGACGGCCGCAGAAACGCATCTGAAACCGTGCGATGCAGTGACCGTCTTTGTTCGATCGTTAGCCAAAAGCCACTGCAAGGATGACCGGAGTCTGCGTGATGGTTTATGCACTTTGTATGTAATCAGTGCGACCTCATAATGTATTCGATCGGCAACCGGTAGCCAATGCAGCTCAGCGAGCACCAGACGGACATGGTCAGATCCAGTGCCGAATCATCCTAGTAGCAAAAGTAGCTACATAAGTAGTAGCTACATGTAGTAGTAGCTACGGGTCCCGAACTTTCAAGGGCCCCGCGCTAAATGCTTTCAAGCTATCAATTCTGGTCCAGTGATTCTGCACTTGCTCTATTACTATAGTACTATACTGCCTTCAACTTTTATGAACGACTGGGTCTTTAAGGTTAGCGATTTGTCATAAAATACAATTACTTTACTATGCAAGTTAAAATTGTGTTTTAATATTTCTGTGTTTTTTTTTATTTAGGGCCCCTTTATAATGTATGCTATAGGCCCCGCACTAGCTTAATCTGGCACTGGCCGGGTCTCGTGGTTAACGACTGTGCGTTTGCTGACCAGGCGTAACAACATTTTGTGGGCATCGGCCAAATACAGAAACAATATTGGGGTTGCCCAGACACCTCACGTCCACCCCTACCGCAGCAACTCTCCGCCCCCCACCCACCCCTCTGCTGCTACCATCGTGATGAATTCCCCCACGTGCCCAGGGGTGGTCCCAACGAGGGGTCGGCGGTCTCCTCGTACCTTGGCACTGGTGCCGAGGGTCCCAGTGAGGCTGGTCTCCTGGCCCAGCGTGAAGCTGTTCACCACCTCCTTGCCGTTGGTGACCGCCTTCACGACGAACTTATCTCCGGTCTGCTCGATGGTCGTCTCCGTGACGGCGTCTCGGCCCTTGGCGATGACGTCGTCGGGGAATTCTGCGTTCACGAAAGAAAGAAAAGGCCACGCGCGGACGAACGGTGACTTTTTTTGCACGATCGGATTTGCACGTCATGGGTATTTTGCCAATTTTATTTTTCCCATTTGTAACCACGGTTGGTCGGCAGGTCCGCGCGTGGTGGCGTGAAGTTTGGGTTGCCCCTCTCTGCCAATGCGCGTGGGTGAGTAAAGTCAATTAACCCTCTAGTGTGGGGCTCTCTCTCTCTCTGGAGTGCCCGTTGATTGGAGGCACCTTCCGCCAGCAGTGACTTGAGAAAGCAATCGTAAGGCCGCACCTTTAATATTTTATTTGCTCAGGAACACCTCACCGAGTGTCAGGACTATTTCTGTATGATTGCCCCTGTCTCAGGATGTTTGGGCGGTTCCTGCAATGAGTGCGCTGACGTGTTTAGAGGTTACCTGGAATACCCAGAGACAATACGCACATGCAAGTTGATTTTACGTTCAAAACTCCGCAAAGATAATGACCTGTCTTTGTTTGCTGCATTGCCATCTTCTAGCCACCTCTCAGCCACGCACGGAAAACCTGGCGTTCCCAGCACACAATGGCTCCCCTGTTGCGAATTATGTAACAAGTCGGTTATTCATATCCAGTTTACATTTCCCTTATTTAAGGAAATCACGCATACGAATAATGCATGGTGTGGTAGAACACCGCGTGGCGCGATTAAATATTAACCCAACAACCTGATTTAGATTTCTGGCCACAGCAAACATTAGCGACGAGGGAAATCTGAACTGATCCTGGAATCCCTCTTTCACCAGGCTCGCATTGACCAGTGCGGTCAAGTATGGCCAAACAGTCCCCACGACTGGCATGGTGTCGCGTTCATCAATCAATGAATTTAGCAAACTAATGTAACAAAACACCTAAAAGAAGCCACGATATGTGGCTTCAACTGGCGAACTTTGACCCGAAAGGCAGATACAATGACATTTGAGAGATCAGCAATAACCTACAGCAGGCAGCTTTATTTCCCGCAGCATTATTAAATCACTGGTTGTCAGCACTGAACCACCGCTTCTGATTTTGCCTTCACGTCAAAGTCACCGGAGTGGAATTTGAACGAAGTGCAATTGGAGGCGATGATATATACTCACTGCAGATTTTCATGAATTCATCGTAGTTATCGGTTGAGATCAGCTTCCACTTGCCGTTGAACGCCATGGCAGAGGAGGGCAGAGGAGAGAGTGTGACGAGGCTGAGAGTCTATTGAGTGCTGCAGCTCCAACCACCGATTCCACCGCCCTTTTATAGCTCACGTCTCAGGAGGGCAGGGGCGGTGCCAAAGGTGAATGGAAAAATGTGTGGTCAGTAAACGTGTACGTGCCCTCCTCCGCTCATACACGTGTGTGTGCGTGTGCACACGCGTGTGTGTGCGTGTGCGCGCGCGTGTGTGCATTGCACGTGTCCGTGTATGTGTGTGGTGGAGAGTGTTGGGAGCGGTGGTGTAACTCTTTAGCGCGCTGCGCTACGAACCCGGGTACCCGAGTTCGATTCCCGCTCACGGCCAACACCAGTGACGATTTTCTGAACCGGTCCCGGGCCTCCCCGAGGTCGACTCAGCCTCAAATGAGCACCTTGTGCGGTGTGTAAAGATCACCACTGGAGAGACAAAGGCTGCCGGGAAGTGGTGTTGGCCACCCATCCCTTCACAGGTGCTCGCTAACAGCACTTGCTCCAACAGTCTGTTAAATGCTGTACAGGGGATCTTTGCCTTTGTGTGGCGGAGCAGCGACGCTAAAGTCGTTTAGGGCAACTGTGTTACAAATCTGGCAACGTGACTACGACAGTGCCGTAGCAGCATGAGTGCGACACGGAGGGCGGCGGAAGTGTTAAAACAAAAGGGATAAGCAGTGACGGCTGGTGGCTCAAGTCTTTGGTGGGATGGAGCCGGCGCCTCAGCATCATCAGTAGGTGGCGGGTGGCCCCGGTGGGCAAAATGTTCGCGAGCGCTCTGGATTGTGATTCCGAGCCACAGCTAACATCAGTGGCGAGTGACATCTGAACCGGTCTTGGACCTCCTACGTAATCTCGGATTTCAATTAAACTACAAAACATAACCATTAAACCAGGCAAAGTCCACTGAGTTATATATATATATAAAAAATTAAGCGACCTGGCCACAAAGGATAGATTAACGAAGTGGCTGATGTGGACTCCAAAAATATACAGCGGACGTCAGGGTCGGGATCGAATCCACGAAACTCCTCCATAGCGGGCGAGGGAGTCAACATCTGACCACCGTGACGCCCGAGCGAGGTTTGGAAACAACGGTGCTGGCCAGACAAAGGCAACCCTGGCGTGGTGCTGGCCATGGCACCTGCTCATATGCCTTGCTCACGAACGGAATGTCTCCCAACAGTCTGTGTAGGCTATATAGTGTGTATGCATTTTAAAAAAATACTTTGTGATGTAGCCATGGTTTAAAGTTCTATGCAAATATAAAATAGCGTAATGTATACAGCCTGGGACATATCCACTGGGTCAGGGCAATTGATTTTCAATTAATGTACAAACCGAATGTTCTTTTTGCTTTGAAATCGACTGAAAACCAGATATTTTTCAGATATTTGCATTCTGTCAAGTAAATTTTGTTTAACCAGGTGAGAACATCAGGAGATCAGGATAAGTTTCATTTGCAAACGTGACCTGGGTCACTAAAGTTACAAAAGCAACAACACAAAAAACAAGTAAAATAAAGAGCAGCAATGAAGCAAAGATAAATCAGCAGAAAAATATACTACCGCATGAGAAATCGACAATATTATACAAACATAAATCGTTTTTTTTTTTAATTTATAAATTAATTCCCTTTAGCGTAAGTCAGCTCGAGCCGAATTATTTTTCGACTGGGACAGGGAGGTGAGTTTGAGGGGATTGCAGGTAATGAGGCGAATGAGGGCAGTGATGTAGGTGACAGAAGGGAGGGGGTAATCGGTGCCAGATGATACTCGTAGCAAAAGCAGCTACATATGCTACGGGCCCCGCACTTTCAAGGGCCCCGCGCTAAACGCCTTTCAAGCTATCGATTCCGGTTCAGTGATTCAGCACTTGCTCTATCACTATAGTACTATACTGCCTTCAACTTTTATGAACGACTGGGTGTTTAAGGTTAGCGATTTGTCGTATCATCTGGCTGTATAGCAAATAAAAAAAATACAATTACTCTACTATGCAAGTTACAAATGAGTGTTTTAATATTTATGTGTTTGTTTTAATTTAGGGCCCCTTTATAACATATGCTACAGGCCCCGCACTAGCTTAATCCGGCACTGGGGGCAATGGGGGTACCCCCCCCCCCACTCCACCCCCTCCTCCTTGAGACCCTCTACGTTTAGAGTGGTTAGAGCAGGGGTCGGGAAGTGAGTTCAGTGAGAGGGCAGGGAGTGATGTAATGCATGGAGCATGGCTGTTTGCTCACTTAAAAAAAATAGATTTAAAGTTACTACTTTGACTTGAAATCAAAATTCTGCCAAATGCCTAATTTGGTATTTGGATGAATAGTAAGAGGTGAGTAAGGGCAGGTTGGAGTGGTTTTGGAAAATTCGATTCGACACTCAAGAGCAACATGCCAATGTGACTCAAGAAGGCATTCTCAGTTGCCGCGTAATGCCTGCTCTGATACAAGTGTAATAGTCATGGATACTCACGAAGAAAACAACACGAAACAATAAACCTGCACAAAGAAACATGGTGAGGCACATGCTTGTAATTACCAGAGAGGCAGAAGGATGAATATTTGGATCAGGGAACACCCAACAGTTCGAGACATCATGTTAATACTGAATGTTTAGAAAATTAAGTGAGCTTGTATGTATCCATAAGGTTTTTTTTGGGGTTAGATCACGTAAATATATAAATGTCGTTAAAACCCGCCACCACCCGACACAGCCAACTCGTAAGGGTTGCCTGATGAAGCTAGTTGTAAATACTGGCGAAACGTCGTACTCAGATTGTGAATGTTATGGCTTGGCTCTCCAATACACAGGTGTGCTGTGCTAGGGTAGTGGGTTCGAATTAGGTGCACACACGGTAATATAACACTGTACATAAGGTGGTGACCACCTTCCTCATCTCACTAACACTCTAGAACACTATACAGCATGACCCAGGCAGGCAACGGGCTGCCTGGTCACGGACGACGACCCGGGACGTGAGGACCGATGATGGCGTCTTCACTTGGGGGTTGAACAGCCCCGCTCTGCGTTCACACCCCGCTTATAACCGCTCCGGCATAGCTGGCTCCGCTCAGGCCACGCCTCCCTTCCCCCACCTCTGGGAAGGTCCGGGTCCTCCACCACGTGACCCCCCAGGCACCCCCTTGGGGCTCCTAGCCCTCGTACGGGCCGACACAGTAGTGACGTCCTATGTCACTACATCACCCCCCCCCCCACCCCCCGTATAAACACACAACTGTGAAACATCTAAAAGGTGTGCGCCTCCGAACCAGCAACAACAATAAATAACCGGCGACTGATAACAAATACATCACCTAATATACACAGAATCGACGAGGGTAAAAGGAGGGGAGATGCATGGAAAACGGGGAATTAACAACAACAAATATATACATGAAAACTGGCTAACCCGCTTACTCCCCAGCACAACCGCCCCATGTGAGAATCACGCATGCACCGCCACGTGAGTGTGGCCGTTGGAACGACGGCATAGGCAATGAGCAAGGCGTGTGAGAGCCATGTAGAGCAGCCAGTCTTCAATGAGTCCATGTGGCCGGGTTCCCCAGGGGAGGTACGCACACCTCCCTTGGAGGCCCTAGGGAACCATAAGCGGCCCAAAGGGCACGGCCCCTCCCCACAGGAGTCAAGAACAGGAGGAGCAGGAGTAGCTGACGTATGCTCCACTCCCTCCCCCCCAGTCCACAGCCGGTTGGCACAGCCGGCGACTCCAAGGTGCCAGGTAGATACTGCCTCCCGTGACAAGACACACAAACCCTCCGGAGGCATCACTCCACGAACACTCGCCTCGGCTCGTCAGACACGGCAGTCACCCGGCCCCTGGGTAGTGGGGATGAGGGGATTCTGGGCGGCGCGAGAAAAGAGAAAAAATAATAATAAACAGATTCAGATGCGTTGGATGTACAACCAACACCGCGATGAAACCCAATATGAAACACCTTCACCCACATAACACGGATGGCAGGGTTCCCCGACCCCCAACTAACCAAGCGCTCACGCACTCACACACCCCAATTCGGACGTCTTCCGACATCCCGGATCGAGACGTCATGCCTCAGAGCCAACCCATGTCCTGGGGCGAAGAAGTCGCGCTTCAGGGATGCCCTCAGGATCTGCATTTTAGTTAAAGAAAAAAGTTCGGTGTGAAAATTGGCCTAAATGGCGGCCGCACACGTGATCCGCATCCCCGCGGTTTCCCGCGCTCGCACAAAAATGGCGGCCGTACGCGTGGTTTCCCGCGCTCGCACAACTTAGTAGCCCCCCCTTGAGGACCAACCCGGACAACTCATGCCACTCGGTATCACCCTCCACCTTTCCGACGCGCACGCATCGGCCGTATAGGGGGAATTTTAACCCAGCCTCTCTCCAAGACTCACATCGCAGCATATAGCTGTACCGACCGAGCTGAAAAAACCCACAACTGAGGGATACAGTCCCAACGTAACGGGACAACTACACCTGAACACTACGAATCTCCAGCCCACTGTTTCAACGTGCCTTGGAGTGTCTCGATCTCCGGGCCGTCAGGGCGTGCCTACAGCTCCAGATGCACCACGGAGGGTCTCAACCTCCGGGCCATCAGGTCAAGCCGTCAGCCATAGCATGACGGGACCACAACTCTCCGAGCAATGTGAGCGCACAGCCCACTAGGCTAGACACGCCACTGAGTGTCTAGATCTCCGGGCGGTCAGGTCAAGCCGTCAGACACAGCATGACAGGACCACAACGCTCGTGTTAGACACGCAACACTCACCGGGCCATCCTGGTCAGGATCTGCGCCCCAAGATAGGCGACAGCCAGCACCACAATTCCAAATCACTGACAGCATGTCATCATTTCAATTTAAATGCTCCATACCAATGACGGCAGAGTCACAAACCAAGGCAGTCATCCCCACATAATCGCAATTGCACACCATCACAACACATACAATTTGAATTAGGATCCCCCACTGAATTGATCCAATGCCAAACTGGTACGCACAATTTGTGACAATCCCGAATACCCAATGGTCCCAACAATACACCTCACATTCCTTATCTGTTTGCAACATCTCT